ATCTCTAAGCAAACAGTTAGAACTGTTTTGATTAGTTTAAAAAATAAACACGTAATATCATTTATCATTTTCATTTAAATAATTTTGAAATTGTATTATGTAATATAATATATATATTTTACAATTGTATGTCTATATATAGTTTATCAAATAAACTCATATAACAAAATTTTACCAAAATAACATATACTTAAAAAATCGTAATTTTGTAAAATTAACCCCGCACGTACGTGCGGGTCCATCACTAGTAGAAGTATAAAATAGGAATGTGTTTTGAGTTTATTGCATTCAACAAATAGAGTATCTATATATATATAAAGTTACATTTGCTCTCTTCCCCTTCCGCTACGTCAGTGTCATATCATACACCACATCATCATTTTTTTTTACTAAATCCAAAAGAATATGAACTTGAGGTTCAACACTTACACAACAATCAAAATACAAAATCTAAAAAAGCATGGGACTGAGGTTCAACACATAACAATCAAACCGGTTAAAAAATCAGAAAAACGTGGGATACACGAGTTTGGAACTAGATGATTAAACGGCATAGGGAAAACATTTTTTAGAACCATCGTTTACAAGAGCGACACATCTGCAACAACGATACCATTTTCAAAATCATTGGCCGGAATACACGAAAAACAAGCCAGATCCTAGAATATATCAAACCCAGACACCGGAAACTTTATCTCTCTAATCACATCTTAGTAAAAATAGAAAATACCGGATAAACTTTCCATCAACCTCTGACGAATACCAAATGATGATAAACATTTCAAATACTAAATTAATATAAAATTGAAAAAATAATCGATATGAAAAATAAAATAACAAAAAATAACAACAGTAAAAAGCCAACAAACATACAATGCAAAAAAAAAACAGCAAAAAATCATAATATAACTAAAAATAAAATAAAATTTTTATAAAACTTCCGGGCGCATCGCGAATCAACAACTAGTAACATATAAAATAAACGTATTATTATATACATCTGAATAATACGTTCGTTAAGTAATGAATAATAGTGATTTCTGTATAAATAATGTCGTGGATAAAAGATAATTTTGTAGTTTTTGTGCCAAAACATGAGGTTGAGATAAGCCAGAACACTTGTCCAAATTCTATCCAAATGATCGGACACAATCGAATATGGCAATTGACTTGAGTCAATCTTGATAAGTACACTCATGAGTCATGACTCCCGTGTGTGCCGTGTTCCACACTTCTGATTTCTAGCTGATTGGCTTTCGATTTATATTATATAATCATATCTAAGCTATTACACATAGTCACATATCACTTTGTAGATATTACTCGTTATTTTATTACTCTTAATCATAAAAAGTAACAACAATAAAATGTTATCAAAATTATTCTTTTTCCATTTTGGAGGAATTTGAAAATACTTCTCTAATACTACTGAAGTACTTATTCTAAAATATTTTCTTCTCTAAACTCTATTTAAAATATCACTAAATATGTGTGTAAATAAAGAAAACTCACATAAATTACATTATATTTTCATAATAGTTAAGTACTATACATAACATTTAAAAAAACATAAATACTTTATAAACCTTATAATTTTTTATATTTTTAGATTTAATAAATAATATTTTTGAAAACAGTACGCTAGAAGAAGTATTTCTCAAAAGTTAATTATTTTCATATTATTATTTGTATTTTTTAACTATTTTGATATTCCATATTGTACTTTTATATCCTTTAAAAAGATATATACCATTTTATAAATCAATCAAACATGTTATTTTACAATACAAGGAATAAGAATATATCATTTATTGTAGATGGGATATTATTAATGTAAAATTTACCTGTATATAAGATTGAAAATATGTAGATGAGATATTATTTAATGTAGAAAGTATCGATTTAGATTGGTGAATAAATCATTATTGTTTACCAAATTTATTAAAAAATAATTAATTTGGTAGAATGAAAAGTTATAGCGTTATAGCCTTATAGGAGTCGGTCGAGCACCGTCCATAATCAATCGCCGATAATCAAGATGCATGAATATCAATATTCTAAAGCTACGTACGTGATTCATGTGTTGTTAACTTTTTTTTTTCTTTCTCTATTTGTCTTCTCATTTGATGTTAAAATATTTATCGTATCTATTTTAATAAATTATATGTTTAGTATAGCCTTATATTATATAATGGGGATTTGATTTACTCGATTTTCTATTATTTTAAATTCTCATATAATATTAGTTAACATTAAACTACTAAAAAGGATCAAAGATAGGGATGAGAATAACTTAGTTGAAAATCTCTGTCATTTACAAGATAACGAGGACAACTCACACGAATGACTAAGCTATATATTAATGTAATTATATACTTGACATTTTACTAAAATTTTAGTAAGTAGATAACCACGATATAGTTTTCTAAGTTAGGTTGTTTGTTAAGAAAAGAAGAATTTTTATTGCAAAAACATGGGTTAGACATTTTATTTAGAACAAAACAAACAAGAAATTAAAAATAGTTAAAAATTATTAAGGAAAAATATAAAAATAAAATAAACTTTAAAAAATAGCATATATTAGATTATGATTTTCCGTCTTAAAACCAATTGATAATTAGTCGAGTTCCTTTTCAGATCCAAAAAGAAATCAAAAGTTATCAATATCATCCATTAGACATGACAAAACTTTCATTTTCGACTGTAAAATCGATAAGACTCTGTCGTTGACATCTTTATATCTTTCTGAAAATAAATCCAACCAAGTTAACTAATGATTATTATTATTTTTTGTTATTTTACATAAATACTTGGAGTAAACGTGGGTTTCGGGGTTGAATTAATTAGGATATATCTCACTGTCTCTCCGGATATTGTCTTTGGCTCTTTGCCTGTAATTTCGTTGTGTACCGTCACTTGCACATGTCATTGTTTTAAAAGAAAAACAAAAGAGAAAAGATAATTATTAATAATTACACATGATAACTTCATTTCGACACATATCATATCACTTTACAAAAATGTGCTAACAGAGGTTTTTTTAGTATACAGGGGATAATTGATGTATGATCATAGGGATGTCGTACATTCGGTAACTTATCAACATGGTTTTACTTGTATTTTTGATAAATAATATAATCGATAATTATTTTATTATATCGTTAAATATTTTGTTATATATAAAAAAGTTATTTTCATCTACTTTATACAATAAGGTGAGAGAATTAAATCACTAATTATTGATACCATACTTTCTCTTTTTCATTTTTCTAGGTATATAGAGTAAAAATACCCAAATTAATATATCAAAATATAAAAAAATTTGTAAAAATTTATATATTAACATTTTTATGAGAAAAAATAATTTTATTAACTTTGTATTTTATAATACAGAAATTTGTTCTGTATATTAATTTTGTTTGTACTAAACATTCCATCCAACAATTAAGCAGTCCGATAGCTTTATAAAGCGTTGAAAAGGCCCACTGTCTAAGGAAAAAGCCCAAACACACGTATAAAAGAGCCCATTATAACATGGATCAAAGATCCTGACTTCAACCAGATGGTCTCTCGATTCAATGGTGTTTTGTCAGAAACCACATAGCCATGTCGCACCATTGGACCAGCTCAGCATACGATCTCTTTTCGAGAGCCGATTGTGTACTGCGAACCATGTACGCAGCCAACGTGAATGTTGTGGATAAATCATTTAGACTGAGATAAGATATCAAAACTGGTGAAAGCAGCCAACGTGAATGTTGAATCATACTGGCCTCCTGGCCTCTTTGCTTAGCTATGTGAGAAGAAAAACATCGTCGATATATCTCATCATGAATCGTCTCTATTTAATTTCTTGCTTTTCATGTGTTGTTGTGTAGATTTTTTAGGAATGACAGTTTTAATGAGTTTGGAAGTTTATAAAATATAGATTTTTCTAAACAAATTAATAACAGTTATTATCAAAGAAAAAGATGTGGAATACTAATTATTAGTAACATTTTTTTTCAAAAAGATTCTCTCGCCAAAGGCGATTTCTTCGTAGCAGTTTCTTAGGCCACAAAACAACCTCCATCAACTCAGATCTCCGGCCGGCGCTGGCTTCTCCGACGTCGGTCGGTCCTTTTTTGTTTTCTTCTAGTTTTCATCTTTCCTTCTGTACAGATTTAAGTAATTTACTTGGCAAAATCAGAATGTCAAGTTCTCGTCGTTTTATTGATGATGGTGGTATATATAAATTCGATGAGAAATAATTTCACGGCTTTAATTCTGGTACCATCTCTGACTTGGGTAGCGTCTCAACACATTCATATTTCGTTGGGAGTTTTGAATCCAAGTTTGACAAGCGTCGCATCGGTTGGTTTCAATTGTGAACGGTTTTCTTCTCAATTTTGTTTTGTCCTTCCGTTTGGTAGGTTTATTCCCGGCGTTTGCCGGTGGAGTTTCCGGTTTGTAACCGGTGAATGTCCTTCTGCTCATTGGTATGGAGGTTTCACTTTGGTTTTTGATCCCGTAATTCATACAGTAACAACTTTACTTAACGGTTTTGGATTTCTTAGAGATTGTATAGGAAATCATGAAATCATTTTTGGAATTACTGATATTCTGATGACTTTACCGGTGGATTATATACAAGAGGCAGTGAAGAATCATTTCTTCCTTGTTATGATGGCTTTGCTTCCGCTGAAAAAGAACCATTGCATTATAGATCTTCAATTGGCACAATGGTGGACTGTTGGTGATGATGATTGTTTTGTCGTATCAAACTCATCACAAATTATTTCGTTATTGGAAGTAACCAAGAATGTATTACTATGTCAAGGTCTTTGGTTCTCTTCGGTTAGAATGATGGATTTTTCAGATTCTGGTATGACAATCTCCTCAGAGAATGCTACAGTCAAAACTACTACTACGGTACACTTATTTATGATTTTATTAGAGAAAATTACAGAGTTGAGTTTCTTCATAAGGACTTTGGTGCGGAAGTTTTGGTGCCGCCATGTCTACATTTCAGAGTTATTCATGGACACATCGGGTTTAAAGTCACGGTCTGTGAACATAAAGTTCAGCCACAAGTTGCTGCATGCCGATCGTAACAAAGAGAAATCAAATATGAAGTTGGACAATAACGGATCTATTAGCCGGTTAGCGAGTAAGACTACTCTTTAGAAAGCATCGTCAATCTCCCTTCTGCTGTATTTTTCTTAGTGTATGGCATATATATGCGTATGTAATAATTGTGCTCTAGTAATTCTGTAAATTTCTTTGTAATAACTCATTTAAATCAATGAAAAAGCTGTTTTTGCCGAAAAAAATACTAATTATTAGTATAAATTAAATAATTTATAGAAATGAAAATACATAAATATTTTCAAAAAAAAAAGAAGAAAATAAATAACCAATAAAATTGAATAATTTAATATCTTACTTACTAAATTAGTTTTCATTGTATTTTTATAGAACTATATCGAGATGAAAATATTTATATACCATTCGATTTCGGAGATTAGCCGGAAAATATCGTTTTCCCGCAAAATAGTGCGACGGAGACGGGTGGATATCGGCTTTGCCGCCATCTGATGTCAGAGAGAATTGTAGAAGAAGCAAAAAAGGGTTATAAAAGATAAAATGAAGGCTTCACTTACAGTAGCATCTTCGAACATATCATAATAACCTTGTACGTATAAACAAACTTGACGTTTTTTTTACTTACAAGACAAAATTAGATTTATGGAAACGATAACATTATAGTAGACACACGTGAAGGAATTGGATTTGTTAAATGACATGAGATAACACCACCATCATTCCATAGGTATATAATCATTTATGTATGCAATTAAAAGATTTTAATAAATCTTGGCAGCCATGTAATGACATGACGTTACGGCATACATACAAAAATTCAACTTCGTTCGGTTGTGGTCATGACTCATGACAATGTCAGATTGGATATTTTTTCATGGTGGAATAATTGTATCTACTAGTATTTAAGCAGAGCCATAGATTTAATATTTCTTTTAGTAATAAGAAAAAAAAAAACTGAATGAGACAAGAGTTTGAGACATCCAAAAATAGTGATACTCTTTTGGTAAAAAAGATTGTATCAAAGAAAGGAAGAAAGAGAAAACAAACCTTCAATTTAGAAAATAAGTTGGGTATGGAAGCGTCAACCATAGGCGGAAGAGGCTCCTCAGAGGTTAAGCCGGGGGAAGGCCTATCTCGGGAGACATCCAAACTCACAAGATTCCCCAGCTGAGGCATTGGCACCGCCGGCACAGCAACGTACGTGATTCTTGGTATGTCCTGGATCTTAACAGTGCCATTGCGATTTGCGGTGTTGCATAAACTCCAAGAATCGGTGAGCAACGGAGTGGACGCCATCAAAGATGCTTGTAACTCACTCGACTTGAATCTACATTCTTCCATGATTGGATTTGCTGAAAGACAGGAGACGACGACTCACCAAGAAAATACAAAGGAAAGAGCCACGAAAGTAAATATCAAGATTCTAATAAATACTTATTTCTTTGGAATGCTAATATAACAATCCAAGAAGAAAGAATAATCTTTCAGCAACTCTACTTGAATCAAATCATGGAAGAATGTAGATTCAAGTCGAGTGAGTTACAAGCATCTTTGATGGCATGGCATCCACTCCGTTGCTCACCGATTCTTGGAGTTTATGAAACGTCGCGAATTGCGACGGCAGTGTTATGATCCAGGACATACCAAGAATCACATAAGTTGCTGTGCGGGCGGTGCCGATGAATCAGCTGGGGGGTCTTGTTTGTTTGCATGTTCAAATCTTATGGCAAACATGTTTCAGGTAGCATTTAAAGCTAACTGCACAAAGATAGATGCTTAACTAACGGTGCATGCTAGGCAAAACCAGCTCCAAAACCATCTCAATAACCAACAAATTTCATCCAATATTTAGGCCCGTTTTATAGCTCTTTCGCTTATAAAGGCCATTATCCATTAACACAAAGCCCAAATACGCGTATAAAAGCCCATTATCTAAAACATTCATCAAATATACTAACTTAGCCAGAGTGTTATCCACGCCGTCTCCATTGATTTTTTTCTCCGACTGACACTGACCGTGAAACTCTCTCTCACTATCGTCGTCAAGAAGAAGAAGACACCATCACCGAATCGAATCGAATCAGATCAGATCACACATTTTGCCATGGATAACTCAGCTCCAGATTCGTTATCCAGATCGGAAACCGCCGTAACCTACGATTCACCTTATCCACTCTACGCCATGGCTTTCTCATCTCTCTCCGCCGCCAACACTTCCTCCGGTCACAGAATTGCCGTCGGGAGCTTCCTAGAAGATTACAACAACCGCATCGACATCCTCTCTTTCGATTCCGATTCCATGACCGTGAAGGCTCTCCCGAATCTCTCCTTCGAGCATCCTTATCCTCCTACGAAGCTAATGTTCAGTCCTGCTTCTCTCCGTCGTCCTTCTGCCGGAGATCTACTCGCTTCTTCCGGCGATTTCCTCCGTCTTTGGGAGGTTAACGAAGATTCTTCAACCGTTGAGCCTATCTCGGTTCTCAATAACAGCAAAACGAGTGAGTTCTGTGCGCCGTTGACCTCTTTTGATTGGAACGATGTTGAGCCGAAGAGGCTTGGAACTTGTAGTATTGATACGACTTGTACGATTTGGGATATTGAGAAGTGTGTTGTGGAGACTCAGCTCATAGCTCATGATAAAGAGGTTCATGACATTGCTTGGGGAGAAGCTAGGGTTTTCGCATCTGTCTCTGCTGATGGATCCGTTAGGATCTTTGATCTTCGCGATAAGGAGCATTCTACGATCATCTATGAGAGTCCTCAGCCTGACACGCCTTTGTTAAGACTTGCTTGGAACAAGCAAGATCTTAGGTACATGGCGACGATTTTGATGGATTCTAATAAGGTTGTGATACTCGATATTCGATCTCCAACTATGCCTGTTGCGGAGCTTGAGCGGCATCAGGCTAGTGTTAATGCTATAGCTTGGGCGCCACAGAGCTGTAAGCACATTTGCTCTGGTGGTGATGATACGCAGGCTCTTATTTGGGAGCTTCCGACTGTAGCTGGACCTAATGGGATCGATCCAATGTCGGTTTATTCGGCTGGTTCGGAGATTAACCAGTTGCAGTGGTCTTCTTCGCAGCCTGATTGGATTGGCATTGCTTTCGCTAACAAAATGCAGCTGCTTAGAGTTTGAGGTTCGAGTTTCTGTTTCACTACATAACTGTCAAAATATATGAGTATTGGTTTAGGTCGTGCTGCATTGGCCACATTATAGATAGCCTTTGTAGCTAAATTTGGTTATAGGGATTCTTGATTGCAACGCTAATCTGACACAAATCGGGTTTTAGGTTAATCACAGTTTAAGATATAAAATTATGGGTGTCCAAGAGGTCTTGTTAGCCACAGGTCTCGCTATAAGTAATGGCTCATAGGTTAGTCATACATATATTTTGGTACATCCTTTGAGTTGTAGGTTTGATGCTCCAACCATAAGTCTTTAGTATTTGACAGAAGTCACCATTTACGTAACAAATACAAAAGCCGGGTATAGTTTACCAAAGGTCTGAGAATTGTTCCGGATAACTCTGCTGTATGCACTTATAGTCTATACGATAATCGGAAACTACGACCAATGAAATGCTGGTTTGAACACCTTTGTATTTGTGCTGCAGGGATTTGTGACTCATTCTTAGATTGCACAATAACATTGCATATCTCTACACAACCTATATTTCCTTATAATTACTATCTATTTCACTTGATGTGTCAGGTGCAGATGTGAAGTGATTTAGCAATAGACCTGTATAATCGTCAGGTTCGTAAGATAGTAGGTTTGGTGAATGCCCACTCTCAGCTTCTTGCTCTGCAATGCCTCTGTATCTATTCTGATTGTAACTAAAACCTGAATTCATTTGATGAAACCAGATCCTACTATTATGATATTATCTCTGTTTGTGTATAAAACCCAACCAGAATATTATATTTGCGGTGTCTGGTGTTTCGTTTCGGTAATTGGAGCTTAGTGCGATGCACCTTTGTCTTACTCTGTTGGACACTTTTAGGATAGATAAAGCGGCTTTACTATTTTTCAGCAGACAGCAGTTAAGCGCGTAGTTGGTATTTAAACGAAGCTATAGTTTTTGTCTTTGTTTTGTCGGAATCAAAAGTATTTGCTTAAGATGTATCATAGGTTCCAACTTCGGATGTCTCACTTAAAATGAGTTATAATGGAATTTGAATGAACTTTGCATATTGTATAACACAAAGCTTTGAAATAAATTCCAATGGAGACTCCTTTTTAGATTTGACACAGATATCAGATATGAAATGAATTCCAATGGAGTTTGAATTGCCTTTCTTTGCATTTGACACAAAATATTGTAAAATCTCTACACATTGAGCTCTTCTAAATGTTATCAGTATTCTCAACCTTAATATAGAAAAGTTAAGGAGAGAATTAATCTAAATGATTTTACAATATTAACTTTAAAATACGGATACTTATATTTTCAATTTAATAAAATAAGTAAAATATAAAAATAGCTTATGAAGTCTTTTATTTTAGAAAAATAAGTATGTATAATTTATTAGAAAAAAAACTGAAGTCAGATTTGGTAAAATCTGGACTTAAGATTTAGAAAAATATCGAAAGGATAATAAGAAGACGACACGTAGTTAGACTCCAGATTTGCAATTGTAGTTTTCCTGTAATCCAAACGGCGCACTGTTTTGAATTCACAGCAGAGACAAGAAAAAAAAAAAGACGAGCCAAGATTTGCATCTTCGTCGTCTCCGATGCTCAGCTCCATCATCGACGACAAGCCCGTCGGTTCATCTTGGCTCAACCGCCTCCGTTTGAACAGAGGACTAACCACCACCGAATATGACGACGCTTCCGGTAATCCACTTACTCTCGACGACTTCCTCCGCCGCAACCACCACACCGAAATCACCGGAGATTCCGCCTCCGATTCACCTCCATCTGCCCCAATTCCTTCAGATCCAGAGTTAGCTGAAAGCCCATTGGAAGAGCCAAATCCCGGAGAATGGTACGGAGTGATGAGCGATGTTCTCTCCGAGCTATTCAATTTCGACGGCGGCGGCAGCGCATCGAAATCCTCCACGATTCCAGGGAAGAAGAAGCTACCGAGGAAACAATCAAACCCTAGGCATTGCTCTTTAGAGACTCCACAAGACGTTGCTCCGTTGGTAAATACGAAGATCAGCGACGCGAATTGCGTTCCTAGTGTTCGTGAATTCGCTACTTCGTCGTCGCGTAGTTCGTACAATAAGAAACCTCCGGCGCCGGAGATTAGGGAAAGGAGAAGAAGCGTTGTGGCGGAGGAAGGTGAGGAGGGAGTGGATGAGGAAGAAGAGAAAGGAGAGAAGGATTTAGTTGGTTTCTCGAGGAGTGAAGTGACGGTGATTGATACGAGCTTTAAGGTTTGGAAATCTGAGAAACTTGTGTTCAGGAGGAGAAATGTGTGGAAAGTGAGGGACAAGAAAGGTAAATCAAAGATTGTTTCGAAGACGAAGAAGATGATGATGAAGAAGAAGATGAAGAAAAAGAGGAAATGTGATGATGATGATGATGGTGATGGTGAGATTGCTAAGAAAAGCAAAAAGATGAAGAGTTCAATATCAGTTCCAGACAATGTGAGTATTGTATATTACATATGGCGTTGATACTGTATTGGATTAGGTCTATGCAGTGTACATTAGATAGATTCAGAAGCCAAGTAGTTCTGTCGATGTGAATTGTACTGAGTTGTTAATAACATGTCATGCCTCATCTTCATTGCAGAATTATGTCGAAGAGATAAATGATGAACCAGAAAGCAGTAATGTCAGCAGAAGGCAAGTTCATGTTGGTGTGTTTCTATCTCACTTTAATCTATGGCTCGTATTGTGTATTAATGGTATCTCTTCTTCTCTTGTCCAGATTGCCCTCTAAGCCTAGGAAGGAAGGTTCTTTCGGTATACATACAAGCAAGAAGAATAGTGAAGTAGAGGCTCGAGGTTATCGGTCCTTGGCCTAAAAGAGCTTGTAAACCAAACCAAGTTTGGGATTTATGTATATGATGATAACTGTTGTATGATTATTATGTAACATTCTTGTTTATGAAAAATGTATTGCTTGTATCTGATTTAAAGAGAACTTAAAATCAACTCAGATTCAATTTCTTTTTACCGCAAAAGTATACAAAGAGTGGTTGGCCGTTTTTTTATGTACACTGACTTCTACAATCTTTGTTTCATTGTTTTCTCAAGAACCTGAACTCCTAAAACTGTAAGGAGAAAAGAGCTGATCGTTATCTGTGTGTGCAGAGGCAGTCTAATCGGCGAAAGAGTGTTCATTCAATTGCTCTGTTGGTAGCGGCTCAACCTTCTCGGCCTTCCCATCTTTCTTTGGGATAATCAGACCGTACCCTCCTTCTTTACGCTTGTACACTATGTTGATCTCACCTACCAAAAAAAACAATATCGAAATGTAAGTATTCATGTCAATCTTTATCCGCTCATTTTCTCCTTTGAGGTTTAGGCTATCAAGCATTTATGGAAGAAACAAAAATATGTTGCATCCATACCGGTTTCTTCGTTTTGGAAGCCATAGAAGTCGTGAGCGACTAATTCCAGCTGCTCAACTGCCTCAGAGACGGTCAATGGTGGCATTTCAAAAGTCTTGGTACGGACAATCTGTAGAAAACCACAAGAAAAGAAAAAACATCATCATAAATTCATAAGATCAGGAAACACCAATAATAAGGGAAGTCTGGACCAACCTCCTTGAACAAATCATCCTCTTCTTCTCCTACACTGGAGTCAGTACTGTCCTCAGCATCCTCCACAACCGGCTCAATCACTGGTTCTCTAACCTTCAATCTGTTGAAACCTTTCATATGCCTTCCATGATCAGAGTCCTTCTCCTTGATCTTCCTCAGCTTCCTCTGTATTATCGTTGATACCAAGTCGATACATGCGTATACCGTCTCAGCATCTTCCTCAGCACGCACAACACCATGCTTCTTTGTAAACAATGTAACCTTAAGTACCATAACAACTCCATGTTAGCTTCATTATCAAATACTGAGCGGGATTTGGACATGAAAGAAAGCGTTTCAATATAGAGATCAAGACTCAACATATCGATAAGAAAGGCAAGCTTTACCTCACATCTACGGATCCTAGGTCCTTTACCAAACTCTCCGCCTCGAACAGAGAGTCTTACATCAACTTCTCTGACGAGATGACTGTGTTTCTGAACAGATTTTCCTACTTTCTCCTCAACATGCTGCTTGATTGGCTCTGATAACTGTCCAAGCAATCTCACAGTTAACCAAATGACTGAAGTCAACAAAACTTCAACTATCAGAATCAAAATGTTGAACACATTAATTCTTTTGACTAAGAGTCTCAAGAGTCGCTATGAATCCATTACCTAACACCAAACATTTCCCCAAAGTTCAAAACTTTTCTAATAACCAATTCTCAAGAATCAAAACCCATATCAAAATTCACAAAAAGTTCCAACATTTGTATTCAGAATCCAATCAATTTGTAAGCTTTTTGTAGAAGCAGAACCCATACCTCGAGGTTTTTGCCTTGGATGATCAACTTGACGGAAGCGAGAGGACCATCCCACGACATTTTCACAGCTGATGAGCTTTTACAGGAACCGGGTCTTACTTGTCTCCGATCATCGTAACCCATATAGCCGAGGAAATCTGACCGGAGCTTTTTCGAATCAGCCCGGCTCGAGCCCACCATTGAGACCACCGTGGAAGACGATGAGCAAGTCGGCGAAGCGATCGAGACGGCGCAGTGGTGGAACTTCGTTTGAGAGAAACCTAAGATTGTCGCCATTTTGAGAGTTGAGAGAGAGATTCACAGATCCTTTTGTTTCCTTTGTCAAGTTGAAGACTGAAGAGTGAAGTAGTGAGGAGAAATATTTGGATAAGGTGAAAAAAATGGATAAGGATGATGACTTAAGCAAAACAAGCACACTTTATTAATTTACGAAGTGAACCTCTTATTTTTTCGTATATACAAATTATGTCCTTCTATTTTTAGATTTGTAGAACTAAACTTATTTAAGTCAAACTTTGATAAGCTAGTTTATTTAGCAAAACGAGTTAAATGTAGCATTTACTATTTAGTAACGTAAAACCAGGCCTGGGTTTCTTTTTACAAGATGGTTTAGTTTTTTTCTTTCTAAAAGTATAATTTAATACATAATAAAAATTAATTCAACTAATAAAAACAAACAGTGTACAGAATTCGAAAAGTTATAAACCACTCATGTTAAATGGCTATAAATTTTGTTTAAATAGTTGAAAAATCAAATAATATAAGACAAATAAAAGCGAGAATAATATAAATTCCTGCATTTTTTTAAATGATGTTTAAGGGGTTTTACACATAAATTAAGAAAACATATAATGTACTTATTTTCTACAAAAACATCATTAAATAAAGTGAATTCAACCAATAAGAAAAAATATGATGTAAAATATTATTTCTAATAAAATATTAAATACATTTGATTTTTGCATAGAAAGTTAAAACATCACTTATAATGAAAATATTATTTTTTTTGGCTAAAACATCATTTAAAGTTAAACGGATATAAGATAGTTGAAAGTAGTGACAGTTTTTAAGGAACATATATTTCCATTTTAAATCTGATATATATTGCTAGTATTGTTGACAAAAAAAAAAAAAATCTGATATATACTTTTAACACAAAGAAATAAGATGATGAAAAATCATAAACGCAAAGGAGTTACCTCAATAAGCTTCCTAAATCCACAAGAACTGAATCCATTGGAACCTTTTACTTTGGCCTTCTTCACGTTTACATCATTGGAACTCTGTTCTAGTTATTGAAGTAACCAAAGTACCATACATGTAAAGCACAAAACCGAAAATGTCTTTGACATATGTTTTTGAAAATATCTATGAAATATCACTTGATTTGTGATATAATAACAAATTTTATAAATTTTGAATATAGATTAATATGATTGTAGATATATATATATATACAAATGCAAAATTTATTCATTTTTATGTCACAATACTAATATTTATATTAGATTTATTTAATGTGGATTACAAAATTTAGAATTTTTTACATTCATTCAGTTTACACCTAAGTTTATAATATATATTGTGACATAAGAATGAATAAATCTTGCATTTGTATTCAATTCAATGTCTCAAATGACAAAAATATCACTTGCTTCTAAGTAATGGCTGTCCACGGACAAATGACAAACTTCAAATCAACAAGTTTGGATTATATCAGTGAAGTTAGGTTCACTTCCTTTGATCATATCAATTGTAGAATACATTAGAGAAAAAGATAACAATTACATGTTTTCAGAATAATATATGAAGAATAAGAAACAAAAAAGCTTGATATATATATATATATATATATATATATTTATATTTTGAGTAATGCAGTTTGGTTAGTCTAAAACCTTAAATCATCATTATTGATGGTCTTAGCTATACTAATATCTTGTCAATGAGTGTTTTAAGTGCATATTATATGGACAAAAATCTTCACGATGACCAAAAATCTTCACAAGGAGGATCTTACGTACATGTTCTATAGACATCTCTCCTGGTCTAGAACAATATCTCTCTCTCAAATCTATATGAAATCAATGCCTGGTTTTTTTAGATGAGTTAAATGTGGCTATTATTGGTTAGTTTTGTTTGCAATTTTCTCCCACTCGATAAATACAACTGGCAAAGAGTCCCTCTAGCTAGGCAAAAAGGGAGAAGTGGTCTAAACAAGTGAGACACAAGTAGATTCACAGGTGAGATAAATATAAATAACATATGACAAAAAAGACTTAATTTACACGTTCGAAAGAAGAGCTTGATCTCTTGGAACCATACAACCTGGTCAATGGTATCCATGTGTGCATGTTTTCGGAAAGGTGCTTTCCTATGACGACCGTAATTGTGTGTTTAATTTAAATACAATATTGAGGGATAATTGTGTTTTTAAAACTACTTAGGTACGAAGATATTCGAGTTTCGACAATGTTCATGTCGATGTTCAAGATCTATATGTTCTTGACAAGATCTATATATTGATTTCCGGCTATTTCATTATACATAACGTGTTCAAAAAGATAGATTCACAACTAATGCGTATATATTTGTAATACTTGTTTGAGTTGTTTTCTATTTAAAGAAAAAATAAAATCAGAAATTTCAAAAAACACATTGTAATCTTGTAAATGTTCTGAAGCCTTTTAATACCAACTAACTTAACCTTTTCTTTTTGGTATAAAAATGGACAAGTCATTAGCCATACGATAAGATGGGAAATATCTCAAGTGGTCTAAAAACGAAAGAAAATATCATACACACAGACTGTAAAGAACAAAAAAGAAATCAAAAATATCAAAGTTGGCCACACAAAAAAGGAGAGGATGAAAATATCATTGCAGACAAAAACAAAATATCTCTGTATGCGAAAAAAGATAAGCGCATGTTCTCGTCCAGTGTAAGTTAGGCCAAAATATCTTTTAGATTTTTATTCCTTAAAATCCCAAAAAGTCATTAGCTCTCTCCACTACACATGTCAACACTGTCTCGTTGAGTATCATCATCCAACCAAATCGAACAACTTATAAATATTACTAGTCAATTGTGTTGTGGTTTTGTATGCCTGTCTGAATCTCATAGGTTCGAGTTAAAAGTAGTTTAAAGTTCTGTCTAAAGATATCATATGTATATATAGTTTATTAATTTAAGTTAACCCCACATATTATCTTTACGATTACAAAAATAAAACTATTTTCAAAATAGTTGTAAATTTGTCAAATTAATCAACCAAAGCTTGAACTTGAACTCAAGAATTCTTATATATAACTGACTAATGTATTGTAAAAAAAGCTGTGTTTTCATAGTATGTTTGATAAAGAATGCGATTGTTGTGACTTGTGAGTTCGAATATCATACCTTAGTTTGTTTTTTAAAAAACCAAGTAAACATTTGTTTAATCTTTGGTCAATATGATATCCACACCGGCCAAAACATGATGAGTGATGACAATAACTTGAAAATAGAATCACTCATAGCTCTTTGGGCCCTTTGCTATATATTTTTGATTTGTTAATCTATTATCATAAGAGCATCACCAACCCTAAACTTGTACGAGATTCTAAAAAAAAAAATTATAATTATATTTTAATTAAACAATAATTATTTTAATTTTTATTAAAATTTGACCACTCATAAATGTACAGCTGTACAAATAGTAAAAAAACGGTAGCTTAACTAGGAATTTTTAGAGTTTTTCTCCTATAAACCCCTCTAGGTTGGAGATGACTTTAGTGTCATTACACTAATTGTCTTTTTCTAATTTACCTTAGTATTCTACTAATCAATTTTGGTTTAAGTCAAAAAAAAAAAAAGAGAAAAGCTTAAATATGAGTGGAATGACTGAACGAGAGGGCGAGTAGATGTTATCTGTCACACTCGCGGGCGCGTGAGGAGGACAGAGAAGATATTTATTTGAGTCTTTCGGACAGCATCTAACTATTAACAGCATCTAAACTTAATTATAAACCAAACACGTGTCTTATTCCTATCCACCAACGACCACGAGGTTTTAAACAAGTGTCGTTTCTTTGTGTTGTGTTGTGTCTCTTACGAAAGCCTTATCCTACTACACAAGTCTAAAAATATCTAGCCCCGGAAAACTAATTTAAAACTTTTTTTAACACTCTTCACGTTTGTCTCCTACGACCCTTTGACTCGTGTGTTTGTTTGTTCTTTCTTTTGATTTAATCCATCACGCAAGAAACAAACAATCAATGGAAGAAAATAAGACCAAAAAATGCTGATAAATTTGGTAAACTATTGTCGAATAAATCGGTTTTGTTTGATCTTTAAGCAAAACTTTGGGTTGATAAAAATTTGGTTTTAACAGAATTAAGAAATATTCGGATTATTTCGTTAGATATTAAAGAAAAAATCTTGTTTTCAGATTTAAACCCATGTGCCGTTGTGTAAAGGAAATAAAATATCTGTATTATTATCTAATAGAAAGTAATAACAAATTGCAAAACTATGTGCCCTTGAAGGCATAAAATACATAAAATATCCTTAGTATATATTTAATAGAAAATAATAACATTATTATATCAAATAATCAAATTACAAAACTATGTACCAAATAACAAAATATTTACTTTTCTTTTTGTTTTTGGGATAAATATAGATACTTTTTCTCCACTTGCATTAGATATTTATTTTTGCGGTTGAATTTTTGATTTTATCCTAAAAGTCACGAGTGAGATTTTTATATAGACATATATTTGTTCACAAAAGTTGAATGCTTGATAAGTGAATAAAAAAAAAAATTCATTTGTAATTAAGCATTTAAGCTGAACAAAAAACAAGCAATTCAATTTACATTTTCTTCAACATTACGAATACATGTCATAAACATACACATCAGTTCGATACACGATAAAATAAATTTGGCATCAATAATAATCAAAACTTAAAAAATTCAGAACTTTAAATATGAACCACAGACCAAAACCAAAGGCTAATAGCCACCACAGACCACAACCAATTTATTAACTTGGAAAAAAGTTGTTTGGCGGTATTTTTGCTGATGTGGCAAACGTGGCCACGTCAGCCAACGCTACTAGATATTTTTTCCTGAATCCCTTCACCGTTAGATCATGGTCGGTTCACCACCCGATTTAAATCTCAGCCGTTGAAAGATTCGCTAGATTTTCTCTAGATATTTTCATTTTCTCCACAAATATAATTGTTTTTTTTTTAATTTTAATTTGTTCCTCTCTTTATCTCTCTCTCTCCCACTCACAAAATATTTTTGATTTGTTTTGTAACTGTTTCTTCTCTCATCTCTTGAGAGAGCTAGCTTCTTCAATCGACGGAACGATTTAGGTTTTTTTTTTTTAAAATAAGCGAAGTTGTTTTCTCTGGTGGTGATGAGTAGCAGCGAGGAAGTAGTTGAAGTGACGGTGGAGAAAGCAGCAGCTGAAGCCGGCGGAGGAAAGTTATCGCGGCGGAAGATGAGGAAGAGAGACGCCGTAGGCGGTGATGGTTTGGTTAAGTGGGAGAGGTTTCTTCCTAAAATCGCGTTGAGAGTTTTGCTCGTTGAAGCTGATGATTCTACAAGACAGATTATCTCTGCTCTTCTCAGGAAATGTAGTTACAGAGGTCAGTTTCTGGTTTCTTTGCCCTGAGAGATCAGTGAATGAGGATTTGGAATTCGATTTTGAGCTGATAATGGTGTGAAACTTCTAATTTTATGCTTTGGAAATGTTACAATCTCGGAGTTATATTTAGAAAGTCAACGATTTTTTTTTGTTTCGGTTTTGAAATCTGATGTTTTTGGTTTGGTTTCGGACACAACCAAGAAACATAGATGTTGTTCAGTGTTTTGAGTCTTTTTGTACGATCTTGGTTTCTACAACAAAGCTCGAGAGGTTTAATTTAATGTGGTTTTTTTGTGTGTTTTGTGTATTATCTCAGTTGCTGCTGTACCTGATGGCTTAAAGGCTTGGGAGATGTTAAAAGGGAAGCCTGAGAGTGTTGATTTGATATTAACAGAAGTTGATCTGCCTTCAATATCTGGATATGCTCTTCTTACACTTATCATGGAGCATGATATTTGCAAGAACATTCCTGTTATAAGTACGGTTACATTTTACAACTTTTGTTTCTTCCTTTTCAAATCCATTGTTTTGAGATGATTTTCGAGCTTATTGTGTTATTTCGTATATTGTTGTTTTCAGTGATGTCGACACAGGATTCGGTGAATACTGTGTATAAGTGTATGTTGAGAGGTGCGGCGGATTATCTTGTTAAGCCGTTGAGGAGGAATGAGCTGAGAAATCTTTGGCAACATGTTTGGAGAAGACAAACTGTATGTTTCATATCCATCTTCTTTTTTTTTGTTTTGAGCTTGTGTGTCCTGAGCCATCTCACAACTTAAACCCGTTCTTATATAAGTTCTGGGAAATTTCGTTGTCTTCAAAAGATAATTGAGTTCTCAGATTTGTTTTCTTTGTTTTTTTGTTTTGTTTTGATCATCTTCACAGTCACTCGCCCCTGATAGCTTTCCAATGGATGAGAGTGTTGGACAACAGAAAGCCGAGGGTGCGTCTGCAAACAATTCAAACGGAAAGCGAGATGAGCATCCTGTTGTTGGGAATGGTGGTGATGCCCAGGTTAGTTTGCTGTTCAATGGTTGGATTCTCCATATGTGAATTTGGTTATGTTCCTTGGTGTTTGTTTCTAAACTATTAGTTAATCTTTGTGCTTGTAGAGCTCGTGTACAAGACCTGAGATGGAAGGCGAGAGCGCAGACGTGGAGGTCAACGCCAGAGACTCATTACAGATGGAGTGCGCAAAGTCTCAGTTTAGGGAGACACGGGTTCTAGTGAATGAGATGCAGAGTAAGCGAGCTTTCATCTATTTTGTGAGCTAGCAAGACATCTGACTCTTCAAAAGTTTCATCAGAATATTAATTCACCTTCATGTTTATGTCAACTCTACAGACGCATCGAAAGAAGCCATTGACTTCATGGGAGCATCGTTTAGAAGAACTGGACAACGTAACAAAGAAGAAAGTGTGGCCCAATACGAATCTCGGATAGAGCTTGATCTCTCTCTGAGACGACCTAATGTTTCAGAGAACCAATCTTCTGGAGACCGACCCTCTCTTCATCCTTCTAGTGCCTCGGCTTTCTCACGGTTAGTAGTCTAGTTTCATTCACCAAAAAAAAGTTAGTAGTCTAGTTTCTGATTCCATCTTTCTGTCAATCTTTCAATAGGAACTTGTTCTTCTATTGATCGTGTGTGCTAATTGCTATGTTCTTGTTGCAGATACGTGCATAGGCCACTGCAGACTCAATGTTCGGCCTCTCCGGTGGTTCCTGATCAAAGAAAGAATGTTGCGGCAAGTCACGATGATAGTACTGTGCTAATCAACCAATACAATTCATCTGAACCGCTTCCAAATGCTCCAAGAAGAAACGATGCCGGCTTTTACACTGGAGATGATTCACCGGGTCCACCGTTTAGCAATCAAATGAATTCTTGGCCTGGACAGAGCTCTTACCCGACACCAATGCCCATCAATAATAAACAGTTCAGGGGTCCTAACACAGCGTATGCATCTGCAATGGCTCCTGCTTCACTCTCACCAAGCCCTAGTTCCGTCAGCCCGCATGAATACAGTTCCATGTTTCACCCATTCAACGGTAAACCCGAGGGTTTGCAAGAGCGGGATGGTTCCATGGACTTAGAGGAGAGAAGACACGTCTCTTCTGCAACCGAACATAGTGCAATAGGCAATCACATTGATCAGCTTATTGAGAAGAAGAACGAGGATGGATATTCATCGTCAGTCGGGAAACTTCAGCAATCTCTTCAACGGGAAGCCGCTTTAACCAAATTCCGGATGAAGCGCAAGGATAGATGTTTTGAGAAAAAGGTAAAACTAACTTTGATGTTTCATTACACAGAATAAACTCATAACGGCTTTGATAAGAAGAATGATACTAACAGACTTTTGAACTACCTTACAGGTCCGATATGAGAGCCGGAAGAAATTGGCAGAGCAACGACCACGAATCAAAGGGCAATTTGTTCGTCAAGTCCAATCCACACAGGCTCCTCAGTGATCCAACAAATTGATATATTAATGATACAGTTCAATTTTGTATCAACTTAGGGGGGATTTTGTTTTCTCCGATACAGGTGTTGTCTTTGTATACTAATTCCACGTACGTAGTGAGTGTTAGATTTGGTGAACACTTTCATGTGTACATACAGCTTTCTGAGCTTGTTGTTGAGTTTAGTTAGGATCTCTACTTAGATATGTAAATTACATACCTTTGGATTGTATTTGTGTAACTTGCAAGAAGAGTTGATAAGATAGACAAACCCTACTAAACAAATCCTAGCACAAAATAATGAAATTAAAGAAGACCAAATCTATGGATTAACAGCTTTCAGCCAATTAGGTGATTTAACCAATGGTCAAAAGAGTGGATACACAAATGAGTAACCTCATGGGATGATGATCATCGGATAACCAAGTTCACAGGGTCTTAAGTGATTCATACAAGATGGGAAGACAATGGAGTCACAGATAAGCTAAATCTAAAATCAGACGAACACAACACAACACTCTTAATGTCTAATTTACAATTTCCCTATAATGTGTATCCATGAATGAAACTCCAATTTAGTGATCATGTATCAAACTTTTTATAATCAATAAAGAAAAGATGTAACAGTGATATCAAAACTTCTGAAAAAAACAACTGAGAACCACATAGCCATTTGCACAAACAAAGCCAAACGAAGAAGAAGAAGAAGAAGAAGAAGATTCTATGAATATATAAATCTGTATTTATGTGTATATATATATATCTCTACATAAGCTCTTGATTCTTCAATTTCTAGATTGATAAAACAGTGAAAGCTGTATAGAGTTCTTTTAAGGTCGAATCGAATCAGGACTAACCCATTTCCAGTAATGCCGCTTCACCGTTACAGCTTTCCCGGCGGCGCGTGTCTCCACCGAATCTTCCGTCGAGTCTCCACCGCCGTACTCCTTCTCCTCCGTAGTGAAATCTTCCTCCGGTAATCCCTCCACCGTCGCGTCCACCGAGTGTAGAGCGTAATGCGCCGGTAATCCAGGATACGACAACGAGTTCCTCTCCTCTACTCTTCTGCTGTAACTCCCGGGGAGAATCCTAGTCCTCTGTCCAACGTCGTTGCCATTGAAGAAAGATCCGAGCTCTTCTTTTACGGCGCGAATTACAGCTTCATCGGGAGATTCTTCAGGCTTCATCTTCTCCGATAAAGGACGAAACCTCTCTCGGATACTCCCATCGGATAACTCCTGATGAGACTCCACTAGAATCCGTCCGTTTTTCCCGATTACTCTAACGGTGACGACGTTGACGGTTCGTACCGGAGGAGTCGAATCGGCGAGAGAAGTTTCGCCGTCGGAGAGCTCAAGCCAGAGGTTATGAACGTTTTTGGTTCCAGGTTTGACTCCCCAAGCGGCGAATGAGTCAGACGGTAACCTCGATTCGAGCCAATCGGAGAGAGATTGAGGATTCGCAAAGCGTTGCGACGGAGGAGGAGGAGATCGGCGAGACATAGCGGTCGATCGACGGCGAGGATTTAGAGGGAAAGAGAATCTGTTAGGAGGAAGAGATAGCAAAGGTTTAGGAGATGACCAGAGGAAGAGAAGAGAAACCGCCGCGAGAAACAGATCAGGTATGGCGGAGGTGACGGTCGCGTTACGAGGACGGTGGTTGTTGCTGCGGCGGTTAACGAGTGGTTTGTGCGGCGGAGATGGGCCAACGAACATATCAATTGACCAAAATGCCCCTAACGAACTCAACTCAAACTCGAATCGTGGCTCATCCTCATACTCAAGATTCAGAGAGGGTATAAATAATAATAACAGTTTTTATAAGAGGATGAGATTTGTGACGTTTATTCGCATATCTAATCTTTAATATTACTAGATTCTATTTAATTGCACAAATGAATCTTATCTTTTTATATTTTAACTTTACGACCCTTTAATTTTTTTTTTCTAGATTCTCATTAATTGCACAATGGATCTTACGTTTTGAAATTACAATTCTCCACCCTTATGTTGCTATCTCTTTACACTTAGCTACACACACCTAGGTTTGTAATTACAATGCAAATACACATTACTGTATATGCAAAGTTCTTCACTCCTCGTCGTCATCATCATCATCATCATCCAAAGTGTCATAAATCGGATACTCTCCATCGCTTCCATCACCAGCGCCGCTGCTTGGAAACCTATCGAACAAACCTTGTAGATAGGTTTTGGAGTTGTTCTCCATGTCACCATCTTATCATTGTTTAAGAAAAAAACTTAAAAAGCAAACCAGATGAAGCTCTAATTACAAAACCAGTGCATATGTTATGAAAGTTATGCTTTGAAGGATACAGCCATGAGAACTAATTGATATCTCATCATCATTTGCAGCCTGCAAAAGAATACATTAGAGTAACAGACTAACAGAGAAACGATGAAATGGTCTTTGGATAATAACTAATGGGTGAAGTAAATACGAAAAATATCATAAGCATGGTTACCACATCAAGTTCCTCGTATTCATCATCAATGTCATCAGCATCTTCATCCGTATTTACATCACCATCTTTCTCTTGGTTTGTGTCTTTATGCTTTTTCATATCTGTGGAGTATGTATAACATCAAGATCTGTAAATCCACTTTTTTTGGTTTACAGAGAATGTGTTTAATGACGCACGGTGATAAAAATAGCACGAGATATGTGGCATGATCATGCCTGCCTCATTTTGATTTTGGTGTATGTGATTGGTCCCCCTAATATATACTTACAAACTCTGTTTCCAACAAGTTTATATCAGTCAACTTCACTGTGCTTTAACACAGTTTTGAGGCCATTTAAACAGAAGAACTTCGCTCAATGCATGTCAACGATCACCAACTTGACTGCCTAAAACACGTAGAGATAAAAACTGCAATTTCTTTGTTGATCTTACCTTTAGTTGTTTCCTGATGATTTCGATGAAATGGTTTCAGTGCATCTTTCTGAATTCGTGTCTTTTCTGACCTCTCAAACTCTTCTTGAATGGATTTAAATACATCTTCGAAACCTGGCTCGGGAAAGACAGATACAAACCTCACAGCTACACGGAGTCTCAAATTATCAAGCAGCGCTTCTGAGAACCATCCTGTTTTATACTGGCAACAAAAGACAAATCAGATAACCAAGACCTCAAATAAAACAATCTCCCAGGGCCGGTCAAAGATACTGTTACATAACTTTGTGTATGATTGGTGAGGCGGGTTTTGCTAGTGGCAATATTGCAAGTGCATATAAAGGTTCAATCTGTAACTTTTTCAGAATGGAGAAACATCTCATATCTACCGGTCATTTTTAACACAGTGCGACAGAGACCGATTTTATTGGTATCTACTTTCATGGATGAAAGCTTAGCTGAGAACTCACATTACAAGTAGTCTGCTTAGGAGGCTTTCTTATCTCTCGTTGAATGTACTCGTCATGAAGTTCAAATAGCTGTAGAAATGTTTGGCATTTGAAAGGAAATACTTTAAACGCACAGATATCATCCCAGCTTGGCTTTGACCTGACACAAATAAACAGGAAAGAAAAATCAGCTTATAATTGGACCTTTTCACATAAAATGAGTCCAAACATCCTGTTGCAATTTCTCCATATATCATATGCTAAGTTCATGATAAGTTCCCTTAGAATTGTTAAAAGAGAATATTTAGATTGATACTCTCGAAAAATGGCTGAAAAGTGTAAAGACCAGATATATTACTACACAGACTCTGAATAAAATAACCCTACAACTACAAGTTCTTCCACACAAATGTGAACTGTTGATTCTAGAGAATATGGAGTCACTTCCTATTCTTTCCAAATATATAATATTCTCCTACAGTACACCATGGATAAATACTTGCAAAGAAATGTTATAATGTTTTCGGGTATTTCTCGGCCGACACATATTAGCAAATTGACAATCTTGAGTAGTCAATATTTGAGTTTACAAGGAAATAGGAAAAGCTTACTTATTAGTTGCGTTGGCATCACAGTAACCCCGCAATTCAGGTGGAACCCTGAATTCCATCCTCTGGAATCTGAAAAAATATATACACAAAGAGATAGAGGCGAAGCGCTTTTGACATACATATGCAAACTGGATGAATTTGTAGAGATAGAATTACGTTACTAAGTCACAGACCAAACATTTTAATTATGAATGAATTTTATAGATATAGAACTCACACACGAGACTCAGGATCTTTCCGTGGATCATAGCCTCTTCTAATCCAGAACCTAAGAAATGGACCACCTGAGAAATAATATGCAGCCCTAAGAAGAAACCTGCAGAGAATAATCCAAAATGTTGGTTATTGCAGTACTAAGAAAACTAATACACATAAGAAACACATAAACTCTGTTCACCTGTTTAGCATATGATGTGTGCATTTAAGACCTTTATCAAGTAGTCGCTGGACTATAGAATCCCTGGTCCACACAGGTCGCTCTTCAAACAATGCAGACACTGCCGTCTGCCATTTCCATTGGTCGGAGCTGGGAACAATTACGTCTTCCCAGTTTAATATCTTTGGGATCTGTATGGATGCTAAGGACCGATCAAAGATATCAAAAATGGCAAAAAAGATCATCAAAAAAACATGGTTTCATACTCAGCAATAATAAGATTTTGAAGATAAGTAAAACGGCGAAAAGGATATCTTTCACACCGAAATCAATTGCAAATACTGGACCAATATCCATCTGCATCATCAGCAAATCAATGAGCAAATGGAGAACTAGCAACCACAAGTTAACTGTCATAGAATCTTCAACAATCAAAATAAACAGAATAGCCATGCCCTGGTGTTTTGAATGTGTGAAACTGCGAGCTTTTAAAGGCTTCAGATTATTTGACTCTGCAATGGCAGGCTTTAGAAAAAAAACATTTCCAAACTAAAAGCTATAATGTAAAATACTAAAAGCACCCAAAATCCAAAATCAGGCCTGGCTAAGAAAGGCAATCCGTCAACAAAGTCTCAAAGCTTACCATTATAGTAATTAAGAATTTGCAACCAGTCTATTAGTTGCATAAGACAAAATAATTTATCGTATCTTTGGGTGCAAAGAACTGTGGCAAGATAATTTATCCAGAAACGTCAAAATGGTTTTATTTCTTCTCTTACCTCATAAAGAGTCTGAGTTGGTTCCTCCTCTTTCTTTTTTGGTGATGTTACTGGAAGTCTCAGCCTGAGAGTAAACAATGTAAGCGGAACTAATAATAGAACTTAAAACACTTTAATCAACTAAGTTCTCCTTCATCGTTTGCCTATTACTAAATCTCTTCGGATTAGACATCCTATGAAATAATTATCGGATGTTCCTAACTAAGATTCAGATGAAAACAGATAACTTCGCTTGGAAAAAATTTGTAATCTTACACCAAATTGTCTGGCCTATCTTTCGGTGCAAAGAACTGTGGCAATAACATCATTACGTCTTCATCAGCCATTCCCATTAGATCATTGTTTCCTGCATGATATCAGAGAGGATTTATGTTACCACACCAGAGGATTTGCTACCAAATAAATAGAGACAAATCACCTGCAAGCGACTTCACCTCCATCCATTTTCGTTTCTTTTGTTGTGCAATACCCGCGTGAATAGGAATCACATGCTGGTAGTCAGCCATGCCTTCACATTACCCACATGAATAAGAGTAAAAGAAAACTCAATATAATGGACAATTATAAGACAACGCTCACTATATAAGAGAAGCTTAGATGCACAAGACCCCAGAAATTGGTGAACTAGGTTCTTACCATCGAAGCAATATGACTCAGAGACACGAGCTACAATATCAGCAGAAAGAGCTGGGGAAGCTTCTGGTAAGCATGCATCGCTAGTCGCAAGAACAGGTTCACTTTCAGGAAGAGAATCTTTCTTAACATCCTCCTTAGAAATTTTTAATAGAAACCCATTACAAGGACGTTGTTCACCCCAGGCAGGATGTGCATAAGGGTCTTCAGGGCGGAAATGCAGCTCAAGCTTGTTTGACGTTGATTCTCTTGCCTACAGAAAACTCAAAGTGATTAAATCCTACAGCACTTGTATACAAATTTGATACTAATTTCTTGTAGAACATTTTTGAAATGTACAACTAAAACACCACTTCCGTGACCAATCTTGCTAAAATCTTGGAATAGACCAAGCGAAGTTAAATGGACGATCTCAGCATCACAACAGGGAAAATAAACAAATTGGTAAACAAAAATGTGTTAGGCAAATGAGAAATCTTACAGCAGTGATCCCTTGGATTCCCCCAAGAGTGTCCAGAGCTCGGGAAATAGATGAAGGGTAGCCAGGATAGTGCACCACAAACGCCTCCTTGCTCGGCAAATTACCCGAGATTGTTCCGTTTTCAATGATTCCCATTGTTGGTTTTCGAAATTCACCTTTGCTGTTGAAAACAAGAAACAAAAGAGATGACTACTAATTACCTCAAAATGGTAAGAGTTTCATTCCTCTCATAAACAAGAGAATGTAACACGAACAAGATTGAAAGATTGAACAATTACAGAGGAGATACTATGATATATGTCTAAAGCAAATCCTGGTACACAGAACAAATCGCACAAAGAACAGTTCCGAGTAATATTTCAAATCCAAAAATCAAAATTGAAACACAAAACCTATGAGACATTTTAAGGGAATAGGATAACAGAGGTCGAACTAGTTCGAAACCATGAAAGAGAGAACGATGCAAGTAATGAAGAAGAATCTAGTCAATACGATTCAAATACGAAGAGGATACAGAGAGAGAGAGAGAGAGAGAGAGTGATGGTAATACCAGAAGTAGCTTTTAGACTTATACTCTCACAGGACGAAGCAGATCTCGAAATAGAGTCGGTCCAGATGGCTGTTCGGTGCGCCGGAAGAACATTCGGCGGTGGGTGAAGAACCACCGGAGCTTTTTGCACGGAATCTTGATTTCTGCCCTTACTGGCGAAATGTTAAACGCCGCCGTTTTGAGGATATCTGGTCTTTGGCTGAGTGACACTTAACCGAACCGGTTCTGACTGATTTTTTTATTCTTTCTTTTTTTTTATATTAAATTTATTTCTAGTACAATAGATGTTTTAACTCGATAAAGAAGAAATAAATAATCTAGAAGAAATCAATGTCTAAAAATAACAAAATTATTCAGAAAAATATAGAAGAAATTTATCAAAAAAGAAAAAGAAAGAGGAAAAAACGCAAAATATGTTGCCAAAACAAAATATGAAAAGTAAATATAATAAATTAATAAGATAGAGAAACAATATCAGAATCCTATTAATCAAATCACTTTAAAAGTAGGAAAGAAAAATGAAGAAAGTGTATTGATACAAAGAAATCTATAAAGTATAAATAAAAATAATTTATTGTATTAATTTCATGCTTATTTTCTTGACTATTGACAAATGACTAATGTCAAAGTGAAATAAAAATCTTGACTAGAAAGTATTGTTTAGCTATAAAAAGTATAATCATGTTCCTTAAATCTTGAGTTGTTTCTGATAAATCTTGTTATCATCCGAAGATTCATCTTTTGGTTATCATGTCTATTGTTGAAAATGCTGGTGTGACAATGGACTCCTCTGATCAGAATTCAAACAACAACACAGCTTCATTAGAAGACACAAAATCACCATGTCCTGATGATCAGAAACTTAAGTCCAGTACCTCTGTTGAAACTCCAAATCTCGCAAACGAATCGGTCCAAAGAACCAGTGAAGTGAATCCCAAGAGTCATTTGAATCCATTGGCTAAGGAATTTGTTCCTTCGTTAATTGCTCTGTACCACTCTGAGTTCTTAAGAAATAGATTATGGTTTGCTAACAATTTCCCAATGCAAGTTATTTCTATTGAGGAAAATGTCCGTTTCACTACAAGGGTATTTATATTTCATCTATACTATTTACTCTGTGTTATGATCTCTTTGTGTTGGATTCGTTATGTTTCATGAAATGTTCAATCAAAATTGTTATTATGACTCTTTTTGCATGTTAGTTATTTCTCATTTACGATGTCTCGGTATTGAGTAGTGCTTGGAAGCTTTGAACCTAGCTATGTGCATATTGATTGCTCCTTGATTTGTTTGTGTGGTAAATGCTTGGTCTCTAAGTCTTGTCAATAAACACAGAGAATGAACTTTAACCAAGGGAGACGATGGACGAACAGAAGAACAAACTTTGGTCAGAATGAAGATGTAATCAAGAGAACTGTATATGTTTCAGACATCGATCAACAAGTATAAACACAGAGAACTATGGTCTCAAGAAAGCATTTTCTCACGAGGAACCCTGATATACATAACAAAACCTCTCTTTATCTTCTTGTAGGTTACTGAGGAGCAGCTTGCAAGTCTCTTTTCTTCTTGTGGCCAGGTACTTACTTAATGATCTCTGTAACCAGTATCTTTCTTGGTGTTCACTCAATTCTTATAACTTTTTGTGTGTGTGTGTGCCAATTTTTGGGTTTAAAGGTTGTTGATTGCCGTATATGTGGTGACCATAAGTCTATTCTCCGATTCGCCTTCATTGAGTTTACTAATTCAGGTACTGCAAATTTCCTTATGATGAGTTGAAATGTTCTTTGTTTTGTTTATTAATCAGTGAAGTAATGTTCTCAGAGGGAGCTAGGTCTGCTTTACGAAAATCGGGTACTATGTTCGGTTCTCATGCTATTAGGGTACTTATCTCGAAAACAGCTATCGCGCCTGTTAACCCGTACTTCCTTCCAAGGGTATGTTGATATAATATAATCATTTCTAAACCAATCTTAAGCTTGACTATATAGATAACTCTGATTCGATCTCTCAACTCTAAACATTGTTTTTTTATTCTAGTCTGAGGAAGAGCGAGAGAAGTGTGGAAGGACTGTTTATTGTACTAACATTGACAAGATGGTAACTTATTATATATGTTCATTTTTTTTCAAATCCTCTGCTACACTCAGTACCTATTTGCTGCTGCATCAAGTACTAATTAAACTTTTATCATCTTTTAAAAAAATGCAGGTCACTCGAACGGAAATGGAAGATTTCTTTAAAACAGCTTGTGGGGAGGTATAGATTTGGTTTGAAACACAGTTTGTTCTGTTTTCTCATGTAACACCATCATCTTTTGTTTTTTTTTCCCCTTTAAGATTCAACATTTGAGCCTGCTTGGAGACTCTTACCACCAAACCCGCATTGCTTTCGTCGAATTTAAGCTGGTGAGTGTCTATCTAATAGCCTACTTCCATACATGTGTATATATCTATGAACATTATTTATATGTGTATGAATCTTTGCGTGTGTTTATCAGGCAGAGAGTGCATTATCTGCTCTTAACTGCAGTGGTATTGTCTTGGGAGGGCTCCCAATAAGGTGAGCTTACTAGAAAATAAAAGATAAAGGTTAATAACAGTCGTCATTGATCACTTTGAAACTCATATTTGCTTTTTGTCTATGTGTGTGTGAAGGGTAAGCCCATCAAAGACGCCAGTGAGGCCACACCGCTCTGATATAAACTAAAAAGCTATCGCACTCTGATGAAAGAGTTCTATTCAAATACAAAGATTATGTTGTTCAACAGCCTGCCCTCGGTTATATTTGAACTAATCAGTAACTTAGGCTAATCTTTCTCCTTTCTTCTATTAATTTAGAACCAAACTGATCTGTTTGTTTTTTTTCATATCTTGGAAACATCTCTCTGGTTATCTTTGTGGATCATACATATTTTAAGACCCCTTTTGGAAAAACTAAACTTTTTTTTTTTTTTTCTCTCTGTCTGAATCTTTATGCAGTTCTGTTTGGTATGATTTATATTCAGTGTTTTGTCTCTCTGTCTGAATCTAGTTCGTTTCTATGATATGCAACGGCACTTGCAAGACTATCTACTTCTAAACAAGAGGGCCAACATGTTTTGATACTATACTCATGAAACCCTACACAACTTTATATATTGAATTTGATTGACTGAATCGGTTTGGTTTTGTTTGATTTGATATTGACAAAAATACACTCAAATGTGAACATGAACACACAACAGAAACTAGGCACAGTGTACGTATATAAAAGCTTTAGTTGACTTTTTTTTTTGTTAGTAATAAAAATATAATTCAACAAATCATGTTGAAAAGAAAACTATAGATTATAAACTTGACCTAGTCCTCCTGTGTAACTGGAAGAACTTTTTCAAATTTGGGACTTTATGTTATATATAAACGTAGACAAAGGTTGAAAATAAAAGGAGAAACCAAGTATAGAAATGAAAATGTCAAACTGAATGAGACCATGGTCGGCTAATTAGGTCCGGTCAAGATACGAAAAAAAGTAACGAGCAGCAGAGACGCAACGTGCGATATTTCTTGCGACACAAGTCAACGACCAAACCGGATCGGACCGTGCGGTTAAGAAACATTGATTCTCGTACTAAGAAGAAGGCGTCAAATTCTGGTTAGTGATGCGATAACCACTATGGTTAAGCTTATCCAATAGTCCTGAAAACAATTTGACCATACCGGTGAGATGTTAAAAATGAGATTTGGGTTACCAATTTTGTATGAAGACGGTTTAAACCGGTTAATATCAAAAGATGTAAAAAAGTGACAATTTGTTGTCTTTGTCAGTGCGTGACGGTGGAAGGAGCAGTAGGTGAACGTATTAACTCGTTTTCGCGTTTCTCATGCATATGGTGACAGATCATAGTCAAATCCTTCACAAAATTTATACAAATTAATAATACTTATTTTATAAATAATGAGATTTATTAGTATTTTGAAGTCTTTATTTAAGAAAAAAGAAAAGAAAAACAAAAACAAAAATTGTTGAATAATTTGTTAGGTAGTTGGGTATCCGGGATTTGTTTTTGTACATAAGGTTGACCACAAAGAAAGGTCTTTTGCAAACATTACAAACATGTTAAAATTGAAAAATATGCATATGATAAAATATAAGACATACTCTTTATGGTTCACATATCAATTACCTACATTCAACCAATATAAAACAAAACAAATTAAAAAAAAAAAGAAAATACCTTTATTACTAATACCATAGTTAATTTATCGCATCAAAGCAACTTTAAGTCGAAAAGTTTTACCAACATCCTCACACTTATGTTTTCTAATACTTAATTTTAGGTATAATTATATTCTTTAATATTTTCTGTAGTAAGAATATATATATATATATATATATATTTTTTTTTTTTTTCAAAAATGTGTGTAGATATTAAAATCTATGTATATTTACAAACATACTATTGATTCTATAATATTTTGGTTATCTTAATTTAATATAGTGATTAGATGTTTTAAAAAGAGCTAATAAGAGACCAAAGTTAAACGTTTTTCTTTTTTTTACAACAAAATTAACGGGTACATAACTAGATTATAATTTAAATGATGCGTAAATCTTTTTAATTATTATCTTAGAAGTACAATACATATGTTTTTATTAAACATTGCCGCCTTATAGTTTCTTACCTTGCACGCTACGTTTTATATTACTAAACATATAACGGTAAGTTATAACCAACTTAAAAGTAACTTTTCTTAATTTAAATAACGTGGGAATCATTTTGTTTTTAAGTTTTCTTTTTTACTAAACAACGTTACCTTATAAGTTTCTTACCTTGCACGATACGTTTTCTATTGAAAAAACGAGCGAAAACTAAAATCAATTTTTTCAAAAATTGCTGAATAAAAGAAATACCAACCAGTCAATATTTATTTATTCAATTACAAAAGAAAAGTTGTGTCAACATATGAACATAAAAGTTTTTAAAAAAAAATCTCACACAAATTCATAAGAAAAATAACCAAATGAAGAAGAAAATGTTCTATTACAAGTCAATTATTTTTCACCCCATTTAGGCAAAAAATACTATCATTTTCAAAAATGACAAAAAGAAAAAAAATACTATCATTTTCAAAATCCTAGCTAGATTTTATTCCAAAAAAAAAAAAAAAACTGCCGTTACTTTTCAATTCAACAAATCACATCATTACACATAAGGAAGTGTCATTAAATAAAAATTGAACACACAATTAAAAATAAAGTGACTAAATGCCACTACGCGCTCTTCTCTCTCTCTCTCTCTCTCTCTCTCTCTTTTTTTTTTTTTTGGCTTTAAATCTCTGAGCTCTTTTTTCATGTTTTTCTCTATTTATTTCCCAAAAGAAAAACAAAATTGAAATCTTCATTTTCTTTTTCTTATTAAAAACATTTTTTCTTTTTCTTTTTTTTTTTTGCTGTTCAAACTTCGTCTCGTCACCGTCCGATGCTTTGACTCCGACCGATCAGTCAATTTGAGCTCAACATCTAACGGTCCATGGGTATTTGTTTCAGCCGGAACATCTCCGCCGTCAAGGACGACGAGATCCCCGCCGGAAACGGCGAGGTTTCGAATCAACCTTCTCAATCGACGGAGAATCACCGGCATGGTGCGATTCCTCCTCAGTCTCCGGCTGCTTCTGGTGCTACCGAAGTCAACAACTCTTACAACATTAGCCCTTTTCAGAGTCCTTTGCCGGCGGGAGTAGCTCCATCACCGGCGAGAACTCCGGGAAGGAAGTTCAAATGGCCGTTTCCTCCGCCGTCGCCTGCTAAACCTATTATGGCGGCTTTGAGACGGCGACGTGGCGCTCCCCCGCAGCCTAGGGATGAGCCGATCCCGGAGGATAGCGAAGACGTGGTGGATCGCGGTGGTGACAGCGGCGGAGGCGGCGGAGAGAGGCTTGATAAGAATTTCGGGTTTGGGAAGAACTTTGAAGGGAAGTATGAGTTAGGGAAGGAGGTAGGGCGAGGGCATTTTGGTCATACTTGTTGGGCTAAGGCCAAGAAAGGGAAGATGAAGAACCAAACCGTTGCCGTCAAAATCATCTCTAAAGCTAAGGTTTGTGTAATTGTGACAATGTGATACCTAACAATTCGAATATGTAGGGACTCTTGTTGTTACTGTTCACAACATAATCACTGTTTCAGAATCTCTATAAGCTTTTGAGTACAAGATTCCCAAATTGATGAAATGCAGAATGATAAAGCTAGGTTCTTTAGCTAGTTCTTGAATTGGTATTGCTTTTGTTTTCAGATGACATCGGCTTTGTCTATTGAAGATGTTCGTCGAGAAGTGAAATTGCTGAAAGCTTTATCCGGGCATAGGCAAATGGTTAAGTTCTATGATGTATATGAAGATGCTGATAACGTCTTTGTTGTTATGGAGTAAGTAGTTTACTCTATATGGTTTTTTCTTAATCATCTCGTTGTGTTTGGATTTGGAAGTTTCATCATGGAGTTTTAAGTAAATGTTACATCTTTTAAGTGGTTGGCCAATAATTTGATATCTAGCAATCAGACTAAAGATTTACTAGTTTATTAAATGAGTCGACTTTGGATATTCAATCTTTCCCTCTTATATGCTTCTAGGTTATGCGAAGGTGGAGAGCTATTGGATAGAATTTTGGCGAGGTAGATCATAACTTACCTTTCTTAGTCTTACTTTTATATGAGTGCTTTAATTTCGGCCTACTACGGCTAGTAAGCTTTGAAGGAGATTTGGGTTCCAACCTTGTATTATTTTCTTGTATGTTGTTGCAGAGGTGGACGATACCCTGAAGTCGATGCCAAACGTATTCTTGTGCAGATTTTGTCTGCGACAGCATTTTTTCATCTTCAAGGTGTTGTGCACCGTGATCTGAAGCCGGAGGTACACAATCTGCTTTTATAAGTTTCTGATATTTCAGTTAATGTCATCTATTATGTCTTCGTTGCTATTTTACGGTTGCTTGAACATGTGGTAAAAATTTTGTTTTCCAGAATTTTCTCTTCACCAGCAGAAACGAGGATGCAATACTCAAGGTCATAGATTTTGGCTTGTCTGATTTCATTAGATACGGTAATGATCTATTTCTTTGTTCTCCTTTCTTGTTAGAAGCTTTGACATTAAAGTTTTCTAATGAGTTTTACTGCAATTTGATATTTGATCTCATTACCACAACTGTTATTCTTGTCTCCTAGGCATTATTAGATATTAGTCTTGCAAATCTCATATGTATCTCATATGTACACGTTGACGCTCACATTTACATTTTTTATCTTCTTTTGTTAATCTGTTACATTTGCAGATCAGCGTCTCAATGATGTTGTTGGAAGTGCATACTATGTTGCACCCGAAGTACTCCATAGGTCTTACAGTACTGAAGCGGATATGTGGAGCATCGGTGTCATAAGTTACATACTACTCTGTGGAAGCAGACCATTCTATGGAAGAACTGAATCTGCAATATTCCGATGTGTGCTTAGAGCTAACCCTAATTTTGAGGATATGCCATGGCCTTCAATATCTCCTACTGCCAGAGACTTCGTGAAAAGGCTTCTTAACAAGGACCATAGGAAACGAATGACAGCTGCTCAAGCTCTTGGTAAGTTCTTTTTTTTTTGTGGGGTTAAATAAGGGACACTAATCTTGAAAAAGAAACAAGAATATGGCTTTACGTATTATGAGTTAACTGAGTGTTTCTTTCCTGTTCATGAGCGGTAATACTATATGTTCTTATGATATGTTTTGCAGCTCATCCGTGGTTACGTGATGAAAACCCTGGTTTACTTCTTGATTTCTCGGTCTACAAGTTGGTAAGGTCCTATATCCGTGCCTCACCTTTCAGACGAGCAGCACTTAAGGTAAGTATTTGATACCCTCATATTATAATCGAGCACATTGCTCTTTTCTCTTTCTACTTATACATAACTGATCTACTCATCAAAACTGTCAGATTATTAATGCTTCAAACAGTATGTTAGTCATCTTTTTTGAGGACTCAGTGAATAATTCCCTGATACACATTCATTCGATAACATCATTTCTTATGGCTGTCTGTGTTCTTATCTTTATCGGTTTTTTCATTACTTCTTTTAAATAGGCTCTCTCCAAAGCTATACCCGATGAAGAACTTGTATTCCTTAAGGCACAGTTCATGCTCCTGGACCCTAAAGACGGAGGCCTAAATCTTAACTGTTTCGCCACGGTCAGTGTCTTTTCCTGATATAGCTATAGCATTTTTCGTCGGTCTTTTATTTGTGAATCTGTTTTATCTGGTCTATATCCCTAATTTATCTTGAGATCCCATTTTCTGAATGGAAATATTTTAGAGCTTAGAATCACAGTAAGAAACAAATCAAACTAAAACACCAAAAGGTTTCCTTCAGCAAAAGCCCTTAAACAAAAATTAAAGCTTTTCCTCATTTGAAAACCAATAAACCCTCCAAAGTTCTCTCTAGCTTGTATGGATGAAGGAATACTAAACAGTTTGCAAATAGGATATTGATTTATAAAAGAAAAGTAAACTTATGCGTATCAATTATAAATCGTTTTGAGTGTAACTGCAGGCTTTAACAAGATATGCTACTGATGCAATGATGGAATCAAGGCTTCCTGACATTTTAAACACGGTAACACAACTCTTGCTATATATTTTATCTTTACTTTTGAAGTTTATGGGTGAACCAATGATGAATGCATGATATGGTTTTCTGGTGGTGCTAGTCAAAAACGATTGTAGATTGCCTCTAGAATGAGAAATTGTGAGAAAAAATTGTGACTCGTTGAGCTTTAGTTGTCTCTGTTTTCATCACAATTCCTCAATTTAAATTTGAGTTTCACTTTATTTGCCATTGTGTCTGTAGTTGTAGCAGCAGACCATTATCATTGGTTTTAGATTTTTAGAGCATGCTGGAGTCATTATAATGATGCCACAATGTTGTCCCGTCATTGAGATTGATGTTTCTGTATTGATTTTCATACTCTTACAAGTGTAGCACTATGCTTTGAATCCTAGCTATGTTCTTACCTTTTTTTCCTTAATATGAAGATGCAACCGCTGGCGCAAAAGAAACTCGACTTTGACGAGTTCTGTGCGGCTGCAGTCAGTGTTTACCAACTGGAGGCTCTAGAAGAATGGGAACATGTTGCAACTTCAGCGTTTGAGCACTTTGAACATGAAGGAAACCGAATCATCTCTGTCCAAGAACTTGCAGGGGTACGGAGTCCTATTTTTAATGTCTATGAGCTTGTATAAGCACCATCACTTTCTTAAGTTCTTAAACATTTTTCTTTATTGGTGCGTGATTTAAAGCAGGAGATGAGCCTGGGACCGACTGCGTATCCTCTGCTCAAGGATTGGATCAGGAGTTCAGATGGAAAGCTGAGCTTCTTGGGTTACGCTAAGTTCTTGCATGGTGTGACCGTACGAAGCTCCAGCTCGAGACCTAGGTGACATATCATAATGTAAAGTCTTCTAACATGTGAATTCGAGTTTCAAGAAACATCCAAAATGACGTCGTCAATCAGTGACCTTGGAGACTGAAGTGGAAGTGAAGTCAAGTAGGTATTTATTTCCTTTGTAAATCATTATTTGAGCATTTTGCTTTCAGAGGAACCAAAAACAAAAACAAAAAAAAGGAAAACATATTATATATTATTATAGGAATTGGTATGGTGTTGGTCTGATATTTTTATCCTCAGCTTTCAGATTTCGTTATTATGATAATATGTTGTGGATACAAAGGCGATAAATGTTCTTTAGCTAGCGGTAAGGAACATAGTATGAGATATAGTGAAACCAAGTCTTTATAGCATAGTTGAAGGCAAGTGTCTAGAAAATATGATGCTTTGTTTTCTATGATAGAGTCAATATGTCTACAAACTGTGAGTAGTTGTCTCCTATCCTATGTATCTGTTGTAGTTCCATACTAGACAGGAGATGACGAGCCCTATAGGAAAATCAGGTGAGAACCTCACACCAATTCTCTGGGGCATCGTCAAAAGAGAGGCGAGTGATGATGACACAAGAGTTCCAAACAGTTTCAAAGAGCGAACAAGCGAAGAAGTTGTGGTTTCTTCAATCATTCTCAAGATTCTGTAGCGTACTAAGAGATTGTTTTAACTTCAACTAAGGTTAATACAAATCGATGAGGATGAATTTTTCTCTTGCATGCACATAGTGTAAAACAAAGATGTTCTCTAACATGTAAAGTGAGTGTAACCAAGAACGCGGAGGTTCGTAGGGATAAAAAAAAGTATGGTAGAGAGATATTGAAGTAAGTGGTTAGGACAAGCTTTACATATGAGTCAAGCTTTTCATATGTTGTAACCACTTTTTCTTATAGCAATTTTAGTTACACTCGTGTTACATGTGTTTAAGAGAACATTGTTTGGATTTTTGTTGTTATTGTTAGCTACTCATCATATATATTTTACTGATTTAAAGTCACTAGTGAAAAAGAAAAACACAATTAGATGAACATAAAATCACGTGTCTCTCCTAAGTCTTTAATCCTCTCTACCTAATTTAAATTGCTAATATAAGTCACGAGGCTTCCTTTATTGACGCAGTCTCTTTCACTATAAAAAGCAAGAAACCCCCACAACACTTGTAGCACCACTCAACCATATCCATATCCACATTCTTCTTTCTTTGAACTCATCCATCACATTCAAATCTTTTAAGGCAACAATGGCGCAGAGAAAGATGATTGTGTTTCCGACAAAGAATGAATTGTCGGAAGCAATGGCTGAGTACACTGCCAAGCTCTCCGCAAAGTTCATCAAGGAGAAAGGTCTTTTCACTGTTGTTCTCTCCGGAGGTGACCTTATCGATTGGCTCTGGTCTCTAAAATCTCACTCTCCTTTTATTTTTCTTCTTTAAAAAAGATCGAAAAAACAAAGAATCCATATGTACGTGTTTGATGGTTTCAATTAATCAAAAAATATTAACGTTACAGCAAGTTGGTGCAGCCTCCTTACATTGATTCGATCGAATGGTCAAAGTGGCATGTCTTTTGGGTTGATGAGAGGGTTTGTGCATGGGAAGATCCAGACAGCAACTACAAACTCGCCATGGATGGCTTCCTCTCAAAGGTTTCACAACATATAATTATTTGCATATTCATTACCTAATCTCATGTTTTTTTTTGGTATATAACATCTTAGGTTCCAATTCCGGATAAGAACATCTACGCGATCGACAAGCACTCCGCGGCTGATGGTAACGCTGAGCACTGCGCGGCGCTCTACGAGGATTGTTTAAAGAATCTGGTGAAGGAAAAGATAATCCCAATATCCAAAAAGACAGGATACCCTGAGTTTGATCTACAACTTCTAGGGATGGGTCCTGATGGCCACATGGCGTCTCTCTTCCCGAACCATCCTCAGATCAATGAGAAGCAGAAATGGGTCACTCATATTACCGACTCTCCAAAACCACCACCGAAGAGAATCACATTCACTTTACCTGTCATCAACTCTGCTTTGTACAATCTTATGGCCATTTGTGACAAAGCACCGGCCAAATCCGTGGCTGAGATCATGAAGCATAACAACTTCTCTTTGCCTTCTGCTCATCTTAGTGCACAAGTCGAAAATGTTTGGTACCTTGACCAAGCAGCTGCCTCCGAGCTCTAGAGACCTCATCAAACACATTAATAATGGTGTTTTTTTTCTTCATGTTCTTAGTCTTTAAGCTGCATTGTGTTAATGTTAATTAAATAACCGGCTAATGCATTTTGCGTACCAAATGTGTTTCTTGTAGTTGTGTGCGAGCTATGACTATATATGGGCTATAATAATAACAATAGTTGCATATATTATGCCGAGGACGAACGAACAAAACAAATAGGATCTTCCAAATATGAGTAGGTGATGATAACCAAATTGTTACTATCATTCTCATGTGGATGCAAAAATCTCGAAGATACACAAACAATCATTATTGTATTCCATAGTTCATATCGAACTAACACAATGACATAACAACAGAAAATAAATTAAACCTGTTTTCGAATCTCCAACCTTAAACAATCACTAAATCTTAAACTAAAACTCTTAACTTATAATAGAAAATAAGATACCAAAAGATAAAATATTTAGGTATATGCTCAAGTGAGATGGATTTTGCTCAAATTTTTCAAGTATGAGCCAAAAAGAGAAAAAAAAAGTAGAATGAGATTTTTAAATATGGTTGTTGAACCATTAAGAAAAGAGAGACCATTCTTCAAAAGACTGGTAGTTTCTGCTCAAAGTATATATCTTCTGTCGTAGTCATTAAACTACTGATTTAGTTTTTAAATAGGATTAAGGCTAGCTAGAGTCGTTCATTGTTCTGAACTACTGATATGTTCATGCGTGTTGGGTCGAGATAAATTTATTCATTGAGAATTTTTTTCAAAGAAACAAATGATATACCATAAAATAAGAAGACTTCAAAAAAAGTATAATCTAATTTTTCCTGCCTAAGATTACTATTATATATGTATATACATATACCAAGAATCACGTTTCTGTCCAGTGTCGAATTATGTGGAAGCAAGCAAGTTATGCGTAGAATGTACTAAAAATTAAGTTAACAAAGAGAGTATTGTACTAAATTAAATATAGATGAATACTACTGAAATTGTTTAGAATAATAATTGTTCTCTTAAATTAATTAAACAATGTCGACGTTCCAACGACGATTCTGGACAGCTAAGCTTACATATTATGTAATTTGGTAGTTAGCTAGCTAGGTGTTTGTTTGAAATACTCTTGCAGCAATTTTGGTTTGGTTTGGTGTGTATAGTGAGATATCAAATAGTATGTATAGTGTATATAGTGAGATACACTATACATACTATTTGATTTCATTCATTTCATTTCCATCCTCCTCGATCGATAGTATGTATAGTGAGATATCAAATATATAAGGTATACTATTTATATATATATATATATATATATATATATAAATCATATGTTTTGATGCGATATTAACTTGCGGTTTATGCATAATTAAATACAGTGAACCATGTTATGTAGAGTAAGGATTACATAAATATATGTTGAAAAATGTATAGTACGAAGTCGAAGATTCATCAGTTGAGGAACGTGTGAAGAAGCCTTAATTAACTTGCGTTGCAGCAACACTTGAAACGGGTAACATGTACATAGTTATATCACCATGCAAAACCTAAAAATCGTTATACGGGTTTAACCTCAGAACCTCTTAATTATTCAAGAAAAAAAAATAATAACGACTATATTATATCATGCAATGCAATCATTAATTATTATAGTAAGTACATTAATTCTAGAAAATAAAACCAATGTAAATCATGGTGTTTTTTATTTTATTTTTAGTATGAGTAATGTTCAAATAATCGGAAGCTTTCCAAACTCATTTTAAGATCTTAATAAAACTAACAGACAATATACTTGTTTCAAAAACCAGTTTATTACACAAATTTACAACCGGATAAAACCTCAAACATGATAAGTTATTTATGAAAACAATTATCAAAAATTATAACGTAAAACTAATCATAACTAATTAACTATAATAGAGATTATTGCCGAAATTGCCAATTTTGTCCCCAAAATCTCTTGGGTTTATTATTTGATAAATGGTTTTAAAAATTTGCTATTTTTGGCCACTTAAAAACTATACATTTATGATTGTTTTATAAAATACATATATACTTAATAACAAAGATTAAATTATAAAACATAAAACCAAGAAAATCTAAACATAATGTATAAAATTATCTTTTTACATGTTTAAAAATGACAAATCTAAAAGTTTTAAAGCAAAATAACAAAATCCACAAATCTCATTAAAGCGATAATAGTTTATTCTTAATTAAATTCATTATAATAATTTATAAAATAAGTATTAATGCTGTAAAAGTATGAAATAAGTCAATCATTAATACATGTAATTAAAAAAAAAAAAAAAAAATCAATACACGTTTATCCTAATTGCACGTTGACCACCACATCATTAACAGTCAACACCACTTTATTCATCTTCTTCTTCTTCTTTAAATATTACATCCCATCGATCAGATTCTCTCTTTACGGAGAAGAACTATGATGGCATCTGTTGTAGGGAAAAAGGAGAGGAAGAAGATCGTGTTCCCATCAAAGAAAGAACTATCGGAGGCTATGGCCAAGTACACGGCTAACCTCTCCGCCAAGTTCTGCAAGGAGAGAGGCTATTTCACACTTGTTCTCTCCGGTGGTGACCTCATCTCTTGGCTCAGGTATACATATCTAAGAAACTCTTTAATTCTTTTTCTTTTCTTGATCACCAAATCTTTGAATCTTGAATTAATTTATAACATGATCATATTTTAAAGAAGTTTAAAAAATCCAATGTTAACTAGTCAAACTTTTGCAGTGAATTGTTGAAACCAGTGTACCAAGAAAGCATCGAATGGTCAAAGTGGCACATCTTTTGGGTGGACGAGAGAGTTGTCCCGTTGGACCATAAGGACAGCAACTACAAACTCGCCTTTGATGGTTTCCTCTCTAAGGTCCTTATTATTTTTCTTCAAGTTATATCAAAACTATTTATATCGATGCCTTGAGACGAATTTTATGAAATATAGGTACCGATTCCAGTTGCGAACATATATGCAATAGACCAAGACTGTGCAGCCCTTGGTGATGCCAAAGGTGCCGCGTTACTCTACGAGGAATGCCTCAAAAGACTAGTGAACCGAAACATCATACGCACATACAAATCCTCTGGCTTCCCACAGTTCGACCTCCAACTCCTAGGAATGGGTCCAGACGGTCACATGGCGTCTTTGTTCCCGGGACATTATCAGATCAAAGACAAGGCAAACTTGGTTACTTATATAACCGATTCACCAAAACCGCCACCGAAGAGAATCACCTTCACTCTACCTGTCATTAACTGCGCTTCTTACAATCTCATGGCCGTATGTGATGAGGCTCAGGCTGATGCGGTCGCTAAGGTTTTCCAAGATAATTTCGATTTGCCTTCAGCTTGGCTCACAGCTGACGTAGAAGCCATATGGTTTCTTGACCAAGCTGCTGCGTCTAAGATCCCTAAAGAACATTGAAGTTGTGTTCTTTCTATATATTTGTAACTTCTATTTCGAATACAAAACCAAACCAGCTACTACATTTAAACATTTGTACACTTCTCTATGTTCTCTTTGTATGTTTTCGAATAAAAATAAGAAGACATTGGTTTGTAAACATTAAACTAAAACATGATTAGTCTAAAACTAGCTTTGGTCGGAGAAGGCTCATATTAATCCACGAAGTCAAAGTTGCTCACTTTCACTATAAAGTCGCGAACTTTATTTTGTTTTCAATGGCTTCTTCGTCTTGTTCCCTCCGCTCGATTCTATTCTCATCGCCCACCAACCTCCGTTCAAATTATTCTCTTCCCACTTCCTTCTCCAGGAACCATCTCACTTGCTCTGTTTCTTCTACCGCGTCTCGTTTCGAATCGTTCTCTGTTTCATCGATCGGAACTGGATCTAGCCGGAGATTATTTAACACTCGGCGAAAGGTACTGGAGGTGAGAAGCATGGCTACGACGGAGCAGAAGCAGAGAGTAGAGACTTATAATCAGGAGGAGAATTTGGCGGTTGATTTGGCCAAATTCACAGCTGATCTCTCCGATAAGTTTTGTAAAGAGAGAGGCGCTTTCACTGTCGTTGTCTCCGGTGGCTCTCTCATCAAATCGCTCCGGTGTGTTTTGTTATCTTTCAGATTTTACTAGTGAAATGATTTGGATTTGGATTTGGATTTAGGGTTTAGCATCTGCCAATTTGGATTTGAATTAGGGCTTGTGGATGGAATTCGAATTAACTAGGTTCTGATTGATCTCAGTCTCATGGATACTACTATGAATGTTCAATTGGTTAACCTAATGTTCCTAATGATTGTTTGGATTTGGTGTTTATCATCAGTATTGGTGTTGAAGATAATGTATGTATGACTTTTCTTGGTTTGTTTAGCAAATCTCTTAGTTTCTATTCTCTTCTTTAGTAGCTACGGCTGATCAAGAACCTTAGCTTTTCACGTTTTGACATATGTTCATGTAACTGTTTCTCAAATATTTTCAGGAAATTAGTAGAACCTCCTTTCGTTGATTCGATCGACTGGGCGAGGTGGCATTTCTTCTGGGTTGACGAGAGGGTTGTTCCCAAGGATCACGAAGACAGCAACTACAAGCTAGCTTATGATGGTTTTCTATCCAAGGTATTGAACATTCTCTGTATTGGTCTCACATGATCACTGAAGTTTCTTGAAACATTTTCGTAACTCGTATAGTCATCTTCGATTCTTTTTCGATAAATGAGGGATCAATATATAGTGGTTGAAACTCAGTGTGTATAGCTCCAGTACACCAGGTTGAGATATTAACAAATAGAATCATAGAACTTATGATACTGAAATTTTATGCGAACATTTAAATTGACTGAAACAAGGATTAGAAATACTTTTTTGAATGAACTAATAAGAGTCAGCTAAAATTTCGTCACAATCTAATTGTTTCTCTTCAGGTTTCAATTCCACCTGGAAACGTATATGCAATCAATGATTCACTCTCTGCCGAGGCTGCAGCGGATGATTACGAGACCTGTCTCAAACATTTAGTCAAGACCAATATCCTCCGGACATCTGAAACAACCGGCTTCCCCAAATTTGATGTCATGCTTCTCGGTATGGGACCTGATGGCCACGTAGCATCCTTATTCCCAGGACATGGTCTCTGCAACGAGAACAAGAAATGGGTAGTTTCAATCACCGACTCTCCAAAACCGCCACCCGAAAGAATCACCTTCACATTCCCGGTCATCAACTCCTCTGCACATATAGCTCTAGTCGTTTGCGGTTCTGGGAAAGCCGACGCCGTGCAGGCAGCTCTGAAGAAGACTGGGAACGTACCACCTGCTGGTTCCGTTTCCGCTGAAGAGGAGCTGGTTTGGTTTCTAGACATCCCAGCCGCTTCCAAGCTCTAAACTGGTGTCGAATGCTTTCCATTCCATTACACTTACCAATGTGTCTACTCCAGTTTGGTTTTTTGTTAAGAGAGTGTTTGTAATAAAAGCGTACTTGACATGAGAAATAATGAATCAAATCAATGGTTACTCTGATTTGTATTCAAAACATATCAGAACCAACGTTCTCTCCAACGGTTGTTTTGACTAATAAGTTGGTTTAGTTTGTGTAGCCGAGACTTGAGGGTTATACAAACAAAACAGTAGTTGACTGAGGAGATATTTTCCTAAGCCTAAGCAATGTATTCAACTATCACAAGAGTTAGACACTTGTTGCATTTAAAAGAATAGTTGTTGAAATGATGAGATCTGATTCATCTGAAATGATTAATAAATGGGATCTGATTCATATTGAGAGATTTGTTGATGTAAAAAGACTTATAGTTGGAATTTGGAAACATATATGAGGTGTATAGATCGACCTCTTTACAAATAAGATTTAATAATAAATAAAATTCAGAAATCATTATGAGAAATAGAAATAAAACTTAAAACTTTTATTATCACTTTCCCTTATTTCAGTATTAAATCTATATCATATATCTTCAGATACTAATTAAAAACAAAATAATTTATGGTAGATATGTTATTATGTAGAATGGATTAGTAGAGAATCTATTGAGACTTTTTGACTGTAAGAAAATCATATCTAAGAATCAAAAGTAAAAATATGTGAGTATAAGGAAATATAATAAATATATTTGAAATATTGAGTAATGTTTTGATCAACATGGTGGTGGTGGTGTGGTGCGAGTAACGAACTTTTATAAAAAGCCAAAGGAATAGGCTTTAAACGAGTATGACCTTCTCTTTACTCTCATTTTGACTTCCCCCATTTGTTTCAGATTCTTGAGAGAGAAAGAGAGAGAGCATAAAAATCTCAACTTTATTATACAGAGAAGTCAGAAGCTAGTTTCTTCAACGACGGAGGAGGAGGTCGTATGGTTTTCTCGTCGGAGTTTTGGAACAAATCTGTTTCCGATTCGTACGGACATATTCCGACTTTTGTATGTTGCAAAAGTTTGGACCTTTAAATTGGTGAAAGAAGGATTTTCACAGGGTTGGGTTCGATGAAAGCTCTTAGAAGAATCCAAACGAGGGCTTCGTTTACTAATCCTTCTTCTTCTCCATCGTCTCCGTGGTCTCATTTGCGTTCTGCATTCGTCCTTGTTACTACTGCTTCTTCTCCAGCTTCTTGTTCTGCTTCCTCTGATCCGTGAGTCTCCTCCTTTTTTTTGATTTTGCGTTGTTCTGTATCATTCTTAGTTTCTAGAATGGTTTGATTGGGTTTGTGTTTCTCTGTGGATCCTGAGATTGTTGTTAGTTCTTTGGCTGTGGTTTAGATGATGATTATTTGAATTTTACCCTTTCGTGTTCGTTTGCTTGTTAATAGAGGAAAGAATCTTATCTAGAGTTTAGTACATTGTTTATGAGTGTTGTCTTTATTACAGGATCAATGGTTGGATTCGGATTTTTTATTTTTTGTTATAACTATTGTCGTAATGAACCATCCACTTAATTTCCACAAATAGGATCTCACCATATCTGTTCCTTGATATAGGTTTATGAGGTTTTTGAAGTGTAGTGTTGTTCTATCTACATGTCTTGTTTATGGTCCAACCAGCATGAATTTTTCTGCTGTTTTTTTTTTGTTCAGGCATCGACTTAAATCGCCATGGTCTCGAAGAAAACGAAAGAAACCTCTCACACTTAAGCGGTGGAAGAGATTATTCACTCCTGAGGGTAGACTTCGGAATGGGGGAGTAGATTTGTTGAAGAAAGTCCGGAGTGGAGTGAGTCTAATCTTTTGACAGAGAATTGTGAAGTTTGTTAGTGATTTACAAATGTTTTGGAGTATTCATTTTCTTATGTTTCTTTGTAGGGCATTGATCCTAGCATTCGGTCGGAAGTGTGGCCATTTCTTCTTGGAGTGTAAGTATATACATCTGCACTCTAGGAGTTGCAATAATGCACTTATGGTAGTTTATATGGTCTATAATGAGATCTCCATGGAGTTGAAATTAAGAATGTTGTCTTGTTATAGAGCTCTTGGTTCTTAAAATGTTCTAAAGATGTCGCACTTATGTAGCTACACACTCATATACTTACGTAAAGAAGTATTGTGTTCTTGTTTCGTTTCCCTCACCTTTGTTTATTTTCTTCTTTACAAAACAGGTGTGATTTCAGTAGTTCCGAAGAAGAGAGATGTGCTACAAGAACTTGGAGAAGGTGAGAAACAGATGAATCACCGCTGGAAGATGTTTTTATATCTTTTGTTCATCTGTGACTTGATTTTAACTAATCTTACTACAATTGCAGAAAAGTGTATGAGAGACTACGCAAGCAGTGCAAAAGGCTTCAAAGACAAAACAGTGCGACTTTTAAGTTAAACAAGATCAATAAAACTACTCAAGATGGGCGTGATAGTTGTTGGTCTCTGGCGCAAGAATCTGATAGTTCATGTTCTGATGATGCTTGCAGCCCCAACAAGTCTCTCTCTAGCGACAAAGACAACACGGAAGATAATGGTTACATGAGTGATGTCTCATGTATGCTTGACAGAGACTACACTGGTTCGACACAACTGAATTCTGAGTCCTCAGACTCAGATTCTTCAGATGAGAATGATTCTGTTCAGCTCGTACCTTCTTCTGCAGGGATGGATAAAAGTAGTACTTCTCCATCCAGCATTAATATTTCTTGCACCAAAGAGGATTTTGTGACCTGGCAGCGTATTATCCGTCTTGACGCTCTTCGTGCTGATACAGAGTGGACTCCAACATATTCGTCATCCCAAGCTATGGTATCAGAGAATAGTGCACGCCGAGCTGCTGCTTCAGTTGATTTAAAGGATTACAGTCATTTGGAACCTTCAAAAATACTTCACGCTGCACGGCTTGTTGCTGTTCTTGAAGCCTATGCTTTACATGATCCTGAAATTGGATATTGCCAAGGAATGAGCGATCTCCTCTCCCCTATACTCTCTGTCATACCCGATGACTACGAGGCATTTTGGTGTTTCGTTGGGTTCATGAAGAAGGCTCGTCAGAATTTCAGACTCGATGAGGTTGGGATCACAAGACAACTCAGCATAGTCTCAAAGATTATCAAATCCAAAGACTCACAGCTCTACAAGCATCTTGAGAAAGTCAAGGCCGAAGACTGTTTCTTTGTTTACAGACTGGTTCTTGTTATGTTCAGAAGGGAGCTGACTCTGGACCAAACGCTGTATCTTTGGGAAGTGATCTGGGCAAACCAAGCTGCAATAAGAGCTGGGATGGGGAAAACTTCCTGGAGCCATCGGATAAAGCATCGGGCGCCTCCTACAGACGATTTATTGCTTTATGCCATAGCGGCTTCAGTGTTGCAGAGGAGGAAACTCATTATAGAAAAGTACAATAGCATGGAGGAGATTCTCGGGGAGTGCCACAATATGGTAGGGAAACTAGACGTGTGGAAGCTCTTAGACGACGCACATGACCTTATTGCTACCCTCCATACCAAGATTGAACACTCGTTCCCATAATCCTTTAACTTGTCTTTAGTCTTATGAGAACAGCCTGGTGCTTGCGATGCAACTGTAAAATGTTGGTTCATTGCTAGCCGTGAGAGGTTTGGAACATAATCTAAAGAGGATATGATTTACCTCTACAGTGCAATCTAAATCCTGTTTTAACATATCTAGGCTAGAATCAATGTATTCATGATTTGTGTGGTGTGTTGTGAAACTTTCAGAGGTGAGTTTCTCTGCCTCCGTTTACAATTTTGTATAGGAAGCAAATATTTTATGTGCCGGGAAAGAGAATCTTCCACCGGTAAAGAATAAACCAACTCTATTTCTGTTCATTCTTATTCAAAAAGTTTAAATATCATATAAGACACATGTATATGAGGTTTAATCCCTCTTTTAACTGTCTACTCCTAATCTAACCACATCTAGTATACATTCCTCTGGCAATGAGTTCGGGTTTTGTCGGTAAAATCTCTTTGCCTTAATGAGCCGCAGTGAAGTTCATACAGATAGGTGGTTTAACCTTAGCCAGAGCCAGCAAAGAAGAAGGTAGAATCCAGAGACCATCTCCACATATCAAACCTGATGCAACAGCTGGAACCATCACATCTGCCTTCTTATGGTTCACCTTCTGCCAAACGAATACCACTAAACTCCCGATACACATATCGATTGCGAACGAACCTCCGACCAGGAATGGTACAGCCATTGCCATCGGGAGAGGTATCCACTTCCCTGGCCTCTCTGGCAAGAAGTCTCTTGCAAGATTGGCAGAAATCGCAAATGCAAAGAACGCATAGCAAAGGTCCAGGCAATGTTCGGGGAGAGCCGAGAGACCTTGAACACCGAGAATTGCCATGTTTCTGTATATGATAGCATAAGGAGCCTTGTACTCACCGTCTGGGTTTCCAACATCAAAGGCCTTGTAGAAAAGAAAGAAGGTAAGCGGCGCAACCACACAGCCTATCGCTGTCCCGATAGCTTGTGCAATAAGCATCGATCGGGGAGAGGTTTGCGTTAGATGTCCCGTCTTGAAATCGTGCATCAGGTCAGCCGAGACAGAGACGATTGATTTGATGAGACCACAAGCGACCATTCCTGCAACCACACCATCGTTTTTCCCAGCCAATGCCGCCATCACAAAGAGTGCCGCTTTACCGTAGTTGTAAGCCATGTTCATATCAGTTAAGCCAGCCCCATAGGCGTTACAGAAGCTGAGAGACGGAGCAAGGAGGTAAGCTACGAGGACAAAGTACCATTTCAACTGAGGGAACATCAGAGGGATGGCAATGATGGAGACAATGGAGAAGAATAAGTATCCCACACAAGCCATCCATAGCGGAATACTCTCTCGAACAAATACTTCATTCTCTCGTTTCAGGTTATCAGATTCTTTTGTGCCATCTTCTGGAACCTCTACCACTGCAATCATTGATTGTTAATTACTTTGACATCAAAAACTCATACAAAACATGGTTAGCTAGATCTTTAAGCAGTTAACTTACATGTGTTGATGCTGTTGGTTTTTGAGAGTCTAGAGTGAAAGCTTCTCCCAGTGAAGAAAAGTATCTTGAGAAAGTTATAAATCCCATCTCCTAATATCAATGCAATGCATATAAACACCTAATAACAACACAAACAAAACGTATCACATCTTTTTGCTATTACAGCTCGTAAAGTGTGAGATATATATAATTAAAACTAGTCAGAAACCGAACCTTATAGCCATTTAAGCTCTTCATGCTACTCTCTGGCAATGTTGCAGGGAACCATTCACCTTTAAGCCGGGCTATGAGAGGCCACATTATTCCCCATGAAAGGATCGCACCAAAGAGCAATGATAGATTCACCAAATGAGAACAGATCATCCCAGCTCCAACATATGTCATACTGAAGTCAAAGAAGAATCTATATCCCCAAAGAGACAAAGTCTGTCAATCAAACTTGTTTAAACTAAAGTGTGCGGCAAGCTCGAAAAGGCTATAACAAAAAACAGAGGAAACACTCACGATTTTTTCCAAGCTTGTAATCCAAATGTAGGGAACTGAGAGAATCCACATCCGTCACCACCTGAATAGAACCATCCAAAGAACGCCCAAAAGAAACTCAAACCAAACGAATTCACAAACCCACGAATCTGTTTCCTGTATCAAAACGACGAAAATATCGATATACATATCCAATCCAATCCATAAATAAGGAAAAAACAAGAACATACTTGGCTGTCTTATCTCCTTTGCTAGTATGAAATCCATTTATAAGAACAGCTGTTGCTGTTCCACTCGGATACGTTAGCTTGTAGTCTATAATCATCACCTGTTTATTCACATACATGCATCCTCAGAAATCACACACAACTAAAATCAAAATTTTACTCTGATTCATAATTTCTAAAAACCATTACCTTTCGAAGAGGTACCAATACGACTAGTCCAATGAAGCTGGTAACAAAGAGGAATGAGGTCATCCATCCAACACCAGGCTCTTTTATACCACGAGGATTGTTTCCTTCAGTGTTTTCTCCCGTAAGCTCATACGTTCGTCTATTTAAACCAAGCAGGTACGATGCGAATCCACCTGTGACATGTAACGAAACTTACATCAGATTCAATTCTACTGTTGTGAAGATTCTCACACGTTCTTTTTGTTAATGAATTTACCTGCAAGAGAGATGCTGTAACATGCAACAGCACAAGTCTGAGCAACAGTGTTCTCTTGACGTGTGAAAGGAGTGGTGACGATTCCTGCTTTTTGGAGAACTTTGGTCCAAGATTTGATAAAGACAAAAGCCAAGAGAGCTGAAGAGATGTTCAGATTCGGGACGAGTCCTGTCGTTAGGTTCAGCTTCAGACAGATCACACTGTAGACAATCCCAATCAATAAACTCGCGACGATGGATCGAACCGTGATCTGTTTCCTCCACGGCGGTGGTTTTCTCGAATCTATCGATACATCTTCTTGAAATTCACTCTCTTCTCTCTCAACCCTCTCGCTCTCCATTTGAAAGACACACGAATCTCAATAACCTAAATCCGGCGATGGGTTGCTTCTTTTACAAGGAAACAAGGTTTTGATCCACGCGAATCCTCGAGAATATCGAAATGATACACAGAGCCGAGGCTTCGCGTAAGATCGAAGAACAAGAAGAAGAAATAGAAGAGAGGATCGCATATTCGGAATGGTTGAATTGAAGAAAATATTTTTATAGAAGAAGAAGAGAATTGAATGAAGAGAGAGAAGGAGTTGTACTGCAAGAGAGAAGTACAAATTAGGGTTTGCATTTTTATTACGAAAGTACAAGATTTTGTGAAACCAGACCATGAAAGGAAACACGCGTTTTACAGTTTTAAGACAGAAGTGGGAGGAGATACAAGGTTGTTGGTCTGAAACTCACTAACCATGCAATTCTTTTTTTTTTTTTTAAGAATAAGAGATGGTGGTAGTACAAGTACAAACAAATCTTGTAAAGTTGATTTTGGTTTTTTTGTTTATATAAAAATAGGGAAAAAATTGGAGTCCCTTGAAAGTGTCGTTAGCTATAGAGTTATACAACAAATCCCACAAAGAGCACTGACTTTATGAAAAAAGAGTGGGTAGAGTTGCGTTAGGTGTTGTGTTGCATATGTTTGACTTCAGAGTCTCGAGTTTACTACCTGATCCTGATGTGTCCTTCTTCTCCCAATGTTGATGTGTTGTCATCTTCTTTCCCCTATAATAATATTAGTCTTTGAACCATATTCTCTTGAATTATTCCATCCATTTGTTAAAAAGGATACTATTTACTTACTTTGTATTAATAATTTCAAAGTGACTTTTCCAACAAAATGTTTAATTTCTTTTGATTCGGATGATAAATGATGAATTCGATTACACTTTATAGTTTTAGACCTACTACTACTTTAAAGATTATTAGTATTATGGAAATGTTTTCCACATTTAGAGCTTTGTTTTTTTGTCTAATTCATATCGAATTTACGTATTTAACTTTAGAAATATAACATTTATTTTGGGATTTATAAGTTAGGGATAACGATTACTTACAAATGAAATTTATTTTAGATGTACCATAAGTTAGGAGTGAAACCAAATTATGACTTGCACACTTAACTTTCATATTAATTAAATACTAACAAAATATATATCACCCGAATGAGTTTTTTTTTGTAACGAATTATGTCATAAATTAAAAGTTTACTTTAAGCATCAACATACGTATTGATGGTAAACCCCACATATTTTTAATTTGGACGAAGGCAAATGTGAAATCAAGATCATCACAAGAGTAGTGATGGTCAGATTCATACTCATCTTGAGAGCCATTCTGTTGTTACGCAGTATGTTATTACTTATACTCTTGGATTGGATTATGCTACATTTTAAATGGTTGAAACATTATAGTGTTACTTAAAATTATATTTAAGAGTTGCAATAATATATCAGCAACAAATGTTTAATTTTTTAATCAGATCAGTTATAATAACTTTATTTAGTAAAATGCCTATTATACAGAGAGTCAAGAGAAGAAACAAGTTCTAGAATACAGTGGTCGTCTTAGAGTACTTAAAAAAGAACTCTTCATTGTTACAGTAATTTAATAAAACTGTATAGACCTGAATCAACAGTTTTGGGAACCTGCTTGAGAAGTACTTTTCAAACCCGTCAGGTACACTCCCAAGTAGCTCTTGTAATTCTTTAGGAAGCTCTCTATAGTGATTCAGTTTGTTCCGTATGACCCTTAACAAATCGCGGATGCTGTCAAACTTGTACCGCCTGTATCGCCCGATATTGTCTAAGAATATGCTATCCAATTTCTCATCCCACCGCCCGTTTAATGTAACCGCTGCTGTGCTTTCAAGTGCGGCTAAGAGCTGTGAGCCTTCTTCTCGGTTTTCCAATTCGACTCTATCGCTTGCATCCCGGAGGAAAGAGAGTCTCATGTCAGCGTTCCAGAACAATGGGTGATGCAGAACTGCCTCCGCCCTTGGTCTACATTTTCAAATATTGAAAAAGCTTCCATTAGAGGAAAGGAGAGTTTCATAATCGACGAGCTCAAAGCAAGATTCACAATATTACACTTGTGTGTGAATAAATCCTAGTTTTGATAACAGTAGTATCAACCAAAAGTGCCATTCGTACCTCAAATTAGGATCCGCGTGCAGGAGACCAGAGAGAAGATGAACAGCTTCTGGAAGACTCTCAATCAAGAAAAGATCTTTTCGATCATTCAAAACGTTTATGTCCCTCTCATAATTGTCTCCGTAAGGATGTTTACCTGCAGTCATACAGAAAAAGAGAACACACCCTAAACTGAAGAGATCAACGGCTCTTGTTTGTCGTTCATTGCGGAGTTGTTCAGGTGCTTGCCACCCAGAACTTCCAGAACCTATCATTAAATATGAGGAAAATATATCATTTTCTGTTTCCACTATTACATTGTATCATCTAAGTTTTCAAGATTCTTACCAGTTGAATTTCTAGTCAGGGCACTATTGTCGGCTGGTAAGTGCTTGCTAATACCCATATCTGATAACTTTGCACATAAAGATGAATTCTTAACAATCAATACATTTTGGGGCTTAAGATCTCGATGTACAATTCCAATATCATGCAAATGAACTAGACCAGCAATTATATCCCTGTAACACAAACATACAAAGATCAGAAAGATGTGTGCAACCTTTGATTTAAGTGTCAAAGATGAGAAACTAAACAAACCTCATTAACTTCAACAAAACAGGAGACGGATGTCCATTTTCCTTCCATAGCTCAACTCCCTTGCCATTCTCGATGATCGGGATGATCTGAGTCGAATGTATACTACTTGAAGCTGTTGGAATTTCAAGCAATCCAGAGGATGCGTGGACGAGATCGTTTAAGCTACAAGCACACCGTTCCAATGAAATATAGATAAAATGTTCATCCTGGTCAACCCCATACCAACGGACAATATTTGGATGTTTGTCTGAAGCCATGAGATTCAAAATCTCCTTCTGAGCCACATCATGATGTGTTTGTACCAGACGCTTAACCGCTACAAGACGACCTTCATAGGTTCCCTCAAGCACAACAGTTCCATTGCTCCCTTTAGCAATCTCCTTGTTGGAGACAAACAGTTTACCAACCCTATATCCTTCTGCCGGACTGTTACTGAGGCCAGGGAAAGCAGTAAGTAATCTCTTCTCATTCTCTCCATTAGAAAGATCTTTGTTCCCTCCGGATATAACCCCGTTCTCTTTCTTGTGAGCAGCCTTAATAGTCCCATTTTTCTTGGGCTTTTTCTTCTTTGGTATTGCGGTTGGCACTTCAGATACAGAAGGTTCCTTGATCCGCATGCTCTGTCTTAATCGGCAAAAGAAAAGGCCGCAAACAGAAAGCATAGTAACACAAAAGCCGAAAAGTAAGACAATCAAACCAGAAAATTTGCTAGCAAAGCCTGCCTGCGTAGTGCTTCCATCAATCATATCTGTGATCTGAGATATTACAGTCTCAGGCAAGGGAAGGGAAAGGACTTCTTCAGCCTCTTTATTGCTCGGAAGTGCCAATTGATTCCCATCTCCAGGAGCCAACTGATTAGATTTTCTATCATGAAATGGAAGATACAACCCCCCGTCTAGCAAACCAAGTCTCGGAAGCACTGTTTCATAGCTCACATCACGTAACTGGAACAGAGGAACACTTGTCGTATAAGATAGTGGGAGTTGGTTGTTTCCCCAAGAAGGTCCAATAGGAATATCCGATGAAGATAACCCACCCACCAGTACACTCTCATGATTTTGTAGTTTAGCTTCCATCTTAGCATAAGAAACACTCCACAAAACATCTCCAAACTTCGATATACATTGGATTTTAAAATCTTTCCGCTCAATATAAACGAGCTCAGGAAGATCTACTGACTCCTTATACCCGGATCCAAATAGTAATGGAGCTTCTTTAGACAAAACAATAGCCTTTTCTTTATCATCTTCAACAACTGTATTAGAATATAGCTCGTCCATTCTATACCTCTTAACCAATTTCCCAGTCTTCCAATCCAAGAGAAACACAGATGTGTCTTTCTTACCTAAAACAATCCTATCCGTCGATGTGTAAGGCAACGTTCCAATGAACTCCGAAGCATCCACTATCTAAAACACAAAAAAGATACACACTTTAGTGCCTTAGCGCGTCAATAAACCCGAAAATGAAACAAATTTCCAAGTTAAAACCTTAGTAATGCGTTTTCCTTTCCGCATAGAGGAATTGTAAAGTTGCCAATTGTCATCACAATCCATATAAAAGTCATCACCAAGTGCCAAGGCACGTTCCTCATCAGTGCTATAATGATAATGAGGAGCCTGGTAAGATGAATATATAGGCTCATTGGTATGGAATGTCCAATCCAGCTTCCAAGAGGACGTATCCACCAAAGATATCGACCCATCTACCGTAGAAAACAATACATGACCAGATTCTCTGTAGAAAAGCACAAATCTTTAAGAAACTTAAACACTGACTTGATAAAAAAAAAATGTCAACTTTAAGACCAAATCAAATAGATGTTGACAACTTGACATTTCCCAACGAAATCGGATTCAATTAAATCAAACCCTTTATAAGGAATCGAATAGAAATTGAAATTAGAGAGAAGCAAATGGAGTTAAAATACAAAGCAAATGGATCGGTCAATTTAAAAACGAGAAATTGGAAAGAAAGAACACTAACCGATCAGGCGGAGAGATTTGATTGGAAACAGATTTGTCATAGAACTTGGAGAGTTCTGATCCTTTGAAGCTGTCCGCTAATGGAGATACGAGCAGGAACAAAATCAAATCAAGTAGTGCGGATCCTCTCATCGTTTTGCTTTAGAATACCATGGAATTTTTATTTTTCCTCAATCGAATTCAGCTGCACCTTGAGGGGTTAGGGTTTATGCAGATCTCATCTACGAAATCGAGAATTCTCAAAAGTTTTGGAAACGGAACGAAACTGATGTATTTTTGGGATTTGAGTTTGCAAACTGTTGTCGGAAATGAAAAATGTCGACGGGTCTAGATTCCTTCATTTCGAAGCTTGAATATGGATAATAACAACCGTTAACCGGTCAGGTTTAAGATTTTGTTTTTGTTTTCGGTTTAAACCGGTTATTTTCAATTTAGTAATTTTGGCTTGGTGGAATCCCAAATTAGCTTATACGATACACTGACAAACAATTAGACCAATTCTTGCTGTTATCGACTAAATTTTGATACATCTAGATATTGGCTTCAAGGTCCATGTGCATATTATCTAACTTATGGTATTGGAAAAGTAGACATTGGGCATTGCTGGGTTTGGTTCATCGATGTTGTTTGGAAATTGGAACCGTTGTTCGTTAGCTGATACAGTGACAACATTTTCTTAAAACTTCATCATGTTTGTTTGATCAGACGAGAACATTGTTCTGAAATAGTAATAGTTATCTTTGTGTAATTGGATACAGAGGTGAAGAAAGGTCATGTGTTACATACTGTGTACAGAGTTTATATGGTTGTTGGTCGTATCTTGGGCGTGATACCTAAGACTTTATTGTTTTCAGCATTGGACCAGGTTAACCTTTAATACTCACGACGCATTCAACTTCTGGAGGCATAAATTGAAATCACAGCATTCTTTCTAAAGTGCACTTGGATTATTATTAGAACTTGAAACATAGAGTAGAGAAGCCAAACCTACAGGTTTAGGACAAAAGTACATACAACGAAAACAGAAAATAAAACCAAACAGGCGATAGAGAAAAGTCTTTTTCTTTTGCAGCAATCACTTTCCAAGTGCACGAGTCTTCAATCGAACAACAACACCTTTGACCACAGATCACAAAGCTCAGAAGCTTCCACCACGAAGACGAAGAACCAAGTGAAGAGTCGACTCCTTCTGGATGTTGTAATCTGCCAGTGTCCGACCATCCTCAAGCTGTTTTCCAGCGAAGATGAGTCTCTGCTGGTCCGGAGGGATCCCTTCCTTGTCTTGTATCTTGGCCTTGACGTTGTCAATGGTGTCTGAGCTCTCAACCTCCAACGTGATAGTCTTGCCTGTCAAAGTCTTCACAAAGATTTGCATACCACCACGAAGACGCAACACAAGGTGAAGGGTTGACTCCTTCTGAATGTTGTAATCCGCTAGTGTGCGACCATCCTCAAGCTGTTTACCAGCGAAGATGAGTCTTTGTTGGTCTGGTGGGATCCCTTCCTTTTCCTGAATCTTAGCCTTGACGTTATCAATTGTGTCTGAGCTCTCAACTTCCAAGGTGATAGTCTTGCCAGTCAAAGTCTTCACAAAAATTTGCATACCACCACGGAGACGAAGAACCAAGTGAAGGGTTGATTCCTTCTGGATATTGTAATCCGCAAGTGTGCGACCATCCTCTAATTGTTTACCGGCAAAGATAAGTCTCTGCTGATCCGGTGGGATTCCCTCTTTATCCTGGATCTTAGCCTTAACATTGTCAATAGTGTCTGAACTCTCAACCTCAAGGGTGATGGTTTTGCCAGTCAAAGTCTTCACAAAGATCTGCATACCACCTCTCAGCCGGAGAACCAAATGAAGGGTTGACTCTTTCTGGATGTTGTAATCTGCCAAGGTACGGCCATCTTCTAGCTGTTTACCAGCGAAGATCAATCTTTGCTGATCCGGAGGAATGCCTTCCTTGTCCTGGATCTTCGCCTTAACATTGTCAATGGTGTCAGAGCTCTCAACCTCGAGAGTGATGGTCTTGCCAGTGAGTGTTTTCACGAAAATTTGCATCTGGAGAAACAAGAAAAGATAGCAATACGTCACCAATCAGCAAACATACACCAAAAAGACCCTAATGAGAAATCAAACCAAAACCAAAGAGAACGGATCAAGATAGCTCAAGAACCCATACAACAAAGAGTATTACACGAAGATAACCTAAAAATGAAATAGATACATTTCGCTGAGAATCGAACAGTAAAGCAATAGATTGAACAGATCTAAACGATATAGTTCTCAACCAACAGCTAAAACGAACGAACGATCGCAAAATTCGAAAACATGCAAAATCTGACGAATTACGAATAGAGAGATCTTAGTAACCGACGTCGAGATCGGGGAAACATAGAAGATGAAAAACAAAATCAAAACAAAAGAGTCAAGAGGAAACGTGGGTAGAGTACCTTAAAAGAGAGAATCGTATGAGATTTGCAGAGCGCGATTCTAGGGTTTTGAGAGAGATTATAGAATCAGAGATTAGATGATGATGATGATGATGATGATACGAAGAGACAAATGAAGGTTCTTAGTATATATAGTGATCACTAGGCCCAAAGGCCCAAAACCGACTATGATTTCGTCATGGAAAACATACATTTTTGTTTATTTTTTAAGAAATTAATATGGCAATCTGTTTTTATTAATGTATTCAAATTTTCTTTGCTTAAAAAGTGATTATTTCAATTCAAAAATGAAGAAAAAGAAAATAAAAATTACTCCAAATTTGAATGACATAAATGGGTAATAAATGATATTTTCTTTTTTTCTTCACAAATTTGAATGACATAAATGGTGATAAATGATACTCCCTCCCTTCCATTATATAAGATCTTTTTGGCTAAAAGCACAAGGATTAAAAAAAAAAAAAAAATTGTATTATTTAATAAAATTGATTAATATTTAACCAATAGAAAAACATACTACAAAATTTAAGTAGTCAGACATTATTTAATTAATATTAAAACTGCATAGAAATTTGAGAAAAATCTTATAAAATGATACAAAGAAAAAAGCCTAAAAAATCTTATATAGTGGAACGAAGAGAGTATTCATAATAAAAGAAGAAGAAAAATTAAATCGTAATTTATTACCAAATTTTTTGTTTTAACAAATTTTTAACACTTATCATGTATTACCATATTATGATCCAAATTTGGTTAGTATATTATTTTTTAAAAAAACTTGATATTTTCATAACCAAACACAGAACAAAATAAATAAAAACACTAAAAACTCCAATTAAATTTAAAGAAAAGGCCAAAGAACACCATAAATATATATATATATTTTTGTATAAGTATCATAAATATGCCCATATGTAAAGACATTATTACTTACAATGTACACTAAACGTGGCAAAATCTCCTTATAATTAAGAGTTTAAGACCGACCCATGTAGTAAAAATTAATGATTTGATTATAGCATATACATAAATATAAGATTTGATCATCTGAATAGCCTAAAGTAGTAGTATATCACAAGACTCCACCACCCCCTTTCATCCTCTCCTTTGTCTCATCAGTTGTCACAAGACTCAACCATGACTGATGATGTCGTTGTTAACCACATCGAGATTGAAAGCGAACGGTCCATATTTCTAACCTTTGTTCGTGGGATCCCTGTGTCCAAGAAAGAAGTGACGCAGCTTTTCACAGAAACTTATGGAGAAAATTGTGTTGAACGCGTTCAAATGGTAAATAATATCGGTGGTCCTGGTCCATGTCAGTCGCTATATGCTCTGTTGGTCGTGGACTCGGTCGCTACCATGAATCGCATACTCGACGGCCAACAGATAAAAAAGCTGAGGATCAACGGGAGGCCCATTTGGGTTCGTAAGCACGGGAGAAGAGATGTTAGTTAATGTATGTATATCCAGTTCATTCAAATCTATCTTCGAGTCATGATGGCTCTTATATAGTACTGATTATAAATATGTAGTACTTTCTCCTTTTGGTTACTCATCTGAAGTCTTTATCTTATGTTATATTGTAGTCTTATACAACTAGAAAACATATGTAACATTGGGTTTCTTCACTTCGTTTTGGTTCTAGGTTTGAAATTATTTTATACCTTAAAACAAGTATGTAACTGGAGGTATCATCAAAAATTGTTTCCTGTCGAAAATAAAGTTAAAAAACTATATCAACTACAATTATATAAAAACGCATAAACAGATTTTTACACTCTCCTAATTACTCTTTTTTTTTTTGTTACCATTTCACCTCATAAGAAGCCTTCATTTTCATATCATCTGCTGTTTGTACAAGTAGAAAGAGATGCTAATGCAGATCGTATAACTTCCTTTGACGTGCCTCTTAAGCTTGAGACTGTGTTCTTCAGCGTTTCAAGTTCTGAGTTACCGGCTAAAGAATTCTCCAAATGCTCAAAAGACTCGAGCTGTTTCTCCAAGTATCTCCTAAGACTTGCCTCTGCAACATTAATCAGACTAAGAGATGAATTACTGTGCATGAACTTGGTCACCAGAAACCCGGCTAATATCTGCTGATTGCCCTTTACAAGCTCCGAGACGAAACATGGGAACATGAGTTCCCCAAAACATGACATAACCCGTCTCTCAGAATTTGCATTTGATGATTCTCTGTAGTTGGCTTCTCTAATCAGCTCTTCCTGGAACTCTCGAGATAGCTTTCCAATCAGATAACAGAGGAAGGAGAAGACTGAGCCATAGCAAGAACTGGAGATGATTGTTGAGAGAGTCCCAGAATATATAATCAGGAGAAGAACTTCATGATGGCTCTGATTGGATAACTCCGGAACGCCTTCTTGTTTCAATTGTTCTTCAACAACATTGAGACACTGAGATCTGATTCGTTCGTAGGGCAACAAAAGAGAAATCTTTAGAGCGAGAAATGGGTCAGTGCTGGCCAAGATCCCAGCCAGGCTTTCTGTTTCATTTTCTTCAAGCAGGACCTCTTCAGGTTTCTGAAGCGATCCATCTATAAGTCGTAGAACATTTTCAGGCATGCGCAAGGAAATGTACTTTCTCAAAATATCCAGCCAACATGAATGTAAGGGATGAGCCGAGACTACATATTCCTTTTCTTCTTTCTCCACAGGTTCTGGTTCCTGAAATGTTTCCCATCCATCATTCCAATCATCATTGGCCCAGTCGTTTCCTTGGTCGGTTGCCTCATAAGACGGCAATAGTTCGGCTTTCTTTGCTTCAAACAGCTCTTCCCATCCTTCTAAAATCGCCAGAAGAGCTTCAGCTTGTGAAGCTGTAGTAACAGCAGAAGAGAGTTTAGAGAAGCAGGAAACAGATGTCTCAATACTCGATAAATCCTCAGGGGTGATATCTAAGCCTGGAGCGATGGACGTCACAGCAATCTGAGATGATTTAAGTGCGACCAAAGTATTTGTGAGCCTGCTAGAGCCATCAGCCTGGTCGGGCAACGCTTGGTTTAGCGTGGCTTCAGTCTTCTGCATAGACGATAATAACTCAGCCGAACCATCCCATGGCATAACGTTTGACTGTAGCTCAGATGATGAGCCCTTGATATTCTTACCAGAGATGAACTGCATAAGCTCTAAGGAGTACACGCGAACTTGACTTGGCAACTCCAGGTTCTCAGAAAATATGACGAGTTGTTCCCAGACTATAAGCCTAACACGCTTCAGTTCTTCCAGGTTGCCTTCCAAGTTACTGAGAGAAGAGAGCAACCGGTAAAGATTCTGTGTTTCATGAGCCCCAGATACCAAATTTTGTAAAATGGGTTCAAGTACACTCAAGTAAAGGTGTGGAAGATCCTGCAAATCTGTCGGATACCGAGAGGACAAATCTGAGAAGACATCAGAAATGGGTCCAAATCCACAGCCAGAGAAGACCATGGCTCTGCAGAAGTTGAAGATTTCAGTCGCGCAATCACCGGCCAAACCAGATCTAAGGTAAACAAGTATTGCAGCCCAAGCCTGACTTGGGGACAGACTGTCATCCATTACTAGTTTTATGAGAACAGTAAGACAGCTGCTAATGCATTCAGGGCTTAAGATAAGATTCTCAACAAGACTTTGCGTAGATGATTTTACTTCTTGCATCTCATCAGCTAATCTTATCCAAAAGTTAATCAATAAGATAAGACATTCTTGCCATGTAGAACTATCAGGGATGTGCAAGTACAAATCATTTGGCGGAAGAACTAATGTGAAATGCCGTTTCAGGATTTCCACAGCTTGCAAAGGTTCCAAGATCCTGACATATACTCTAGTGTGGTCATATGTCTGCTCAAGTTGACCGAGGAACCCCTGGAAACTCTCTGCACTTCCAAAATCAAGATCTCTTCTACTCTCCAATGTATCTAACAAATTCATAATATATTGTTGGTAAACATCTTGCCAGGAAATGAGACTGTTGGGCGAATTCTCCATGAAGAAGCCAGTGAGAGTTTCTACCATTTTGGCCAAAGCTTCCAGGTTCATCTCATTGATGTGTGCATGGACTTCATTGTTGAAGCTGTCAAAGTTCAAACCTCCCAATTCTGCAATATTTTTGAAATCCAAATCTGTGATAAACGACACTCTACTGCATTCTTGCTTAAGAACGTTATACAAATTTGATAACCCAGCAAAGGAACCATGTGCTTGAACCAACAATGATGCTTCCTTGCTTTCTTCCAAATGGCTATAGCATTCAGAAAGGAGGCTATATATGTAAGCAAGGCGTTGTTTGTTAAGACCACTAATTGCTGGGTACACGATCGAACTTATGGTTTGTATGGTGTCTGAAGCAAAGAGAAGTATTTCTTCCTTGACTTGTATAATTTCAGCCGTGATGTCCTCATTTGTCCAAATCTCAGAGCAAAGGATAGAGCTTAAATACCTTAATATCACCTGGTAAGAAGACAAATACAGGTATAAATTAGTTTCGGTTGAGGAAAGTATGTGCAGTAATAAGTTATAAATAAAGTAAAATTTACCTCTGACTGGTTCAAGCCATATGTATCAGCCAATGTTAGTACATCTTTCAAAATCAGCTTCTTCTCCGATTTCACAGATTCAATGAGAGAGAAAACAGCAACCTTAATGTATTCAGTATCATGCGATAAAAACCTTTCAGTCTCAACCCCAGGGATAATTCTCTCTAGAATTCTAGAACGGTCAGCATCATGCATTTTTTCCTCTAATTTATGTTTCCATTCCTTCCAGAAAGTTGATTGAAGTTTGTCGATCCTCCTCATATCATCTGTATATATAAAACAGCACCTAGAAGTCAAAAGGAGTTGGCAAAAACGGGTATATCGAGAAAATAATCGACCCAGAAACCCTTACCAGAGAGACTTTCTGTTTGCTTTTTCTTAAAGTTCTTCAGAAGCAGTTCTCTCCTCTGGATGGGAGCCGTACACTCTACTCCAGAGTCATGTAGCAAACTATATATCATCCCTAGACTCATGATACTTCGGATTTCTTGGTAGTTCCCCCTAATTCTCAACTGCTTTTCTATAACTTCTACTGCATTAGATGCATCTACTAGATTCAACAGAAACGAACATCCTATAATGTCTTCCTCTTTTGTTACCGGATGTTCAATGATTGAGTCTGTAATCATGGCTATCAGCTCATCTTTTGGTGCAAAACCATTCTTTGCCAGCCAGGATAGAATGGTAACAAGAGCAGTTGCTTTTATGCTGACAAACTGCTTTCCAGGAATGGAATCAAGCACTAGATTTTTATCCAACTTCCTATTTCTACCCAGCTTAAGTAACCACGGAAGATGTGACGCACAAAAGGAGAGAAGCTTCCCATTTTCCTTTAGAAGAGACTCCAAATCCATGCTATCATCAACCGGCAAGTCCTTAGCAACACAAGAAAGTGTATCTTTGACTCTGTCGAAATCTAGTTGTTGATCACTGCTTAGCCTATCAAACATCTGAGGGAAATCTCTCAGACAAGAAACACCATCCATCTTGTGAAATTCAGGAGAATCCGACTCTGATAACATTCCCAGAGTCTCGCATTGGCCTTGAAGGTCAAGATCTTTCCATGCGTGCAATAACTCACTGATCGATTCGTCATCACAGTGACCCAAAGCAAACCCAAGCAACTGCTTTCTAGAACTTATATCCATGTGCTCAAGCGCAGGACCTCTTGCTATTGCAGCACCTAAATCCCAAATGGGACCATGCCCTTTTTTGGTTAGAACAAGGCACAGATCAAACGCCACCTGCAGATCACCTGCAGCTGCAGCTTCTCTGGCAATAGCTTCTTCAACAGAAGATATATCTTCTGAAGAATTCAACCCAAGAAGTTTAGCAACCTCAATAAGTTCATCAACATGTAGATAGGCCCCAGGATGCCCCGTGATTGCCATCTTAATAATCTCCATTGGGTCTTTTACTTGTTTGAACTGTACTGGTAGGAGACTAACCCCAAGATCTGGAAGCCTAACAGTAACTGCATCAATTATATCGGCCTCGGCTTTAACAGTCCGGCTACTAGAAAATATATTCAGACACTCCCTTGCTTTCCATATCTGGAAATATTATATTCAAAATTGTGAAAATATATCCAAGCACAAAGAGAATTGTAGCTAACACTGAACTTTGGGAAAAAAAAGAAAAATATATCTCTAGATCACCAGAAGAAAGAATTTAACAAGATGGTAGGTTGCATAAATATATTTAGTAGAAGCTTTATACATAAACAAAGAAACACCACTTACTTCTTCAGAAGCAAGGCTCGGAGCAGAGAAGAAGTATTCCTTTGCTGCATTTATAACAAGACTCTCTGCCTTCTCTGATGGCAGTGCAACTGATCCTGTACCCTTGAGATAATTTCTAGCCAGGGTAAACTTTCCAGCTTTTAGAAGTCCTCTACAGAACTCTGTCAGCACGAACTCAAGATCAAGGAAAGAAAAGGCTTTCTCCTGCAACTGTCGTAGATCACGCCACATGCATGCCCAGTCATTATCAGATCGTCCAGGTTGACGACGAACAAATTTTGAAAGCATGAGTCGAAGGATCTGCTTTACACCCTTTTCATCCAAATGAACCTCAGGAAAGTAATTAATTGGTTTCGGGACCTGTGTAGAAAAAGGCAGAATTACAACTCCCATAAACTTTCAAACAGAAGATCTCTTTATACTTCTACACAGGCAGAGAACCAAGTATCTATACTTAAGTTAGTTCACTTCAAATATGTGCACACAGAACAAGGCTACAAACTTCTGCTATGAGATACCAACTTAATTAATTCAAGATATAGAAATTTTGAAACCTGATAAATTTCCAAAAGCCTCCCTGCTTCTATATGACCTTCCGCCAGTTTGAGTCTTTTCTGAATGTCTTCACCATCAATATCTGCATTTGCATGAATGTCAGTTTGGTTTAGCAATGACTCGATAAGGACATCTAATAAATTAGTTACATAGACTTTGGTTGGGATACATTGGATCTAGACTACTGACCATCTATCTTCGGTAGCTTTGATAGCATTGTTGCCATAACATTCCACTTATCTGTAACTTTGCACAGATACAGACATTGCAGAGCACAATCAACAACTTGAACCTCATCCTTAAAGAAACAAACAGTATACAAATCCATACACCCTTCCTCAATAACCTTTGAGCATAAATCGATCTCATTTTTTGCTGCCATCTCCTTCAGCCATTTAACTAGAAAGGACTCCTCGTTATGGTTGTTTGTCCCCAGAAACCTTTTCTGCATAAATGGAATTGCCTTGTCATGCAATCTTCTAACCACAGTTTCAGCTTTAATCCCTTCAAGCATTATTTTAAATTTCTCATAATCAGATAAATGCTCCACCAACAAGGCTTAAGCTGAAGCAGATTTCGCCTCCAATTTCATCAGAATAAATGATCTGGTGCAAGTATGATAGATCTTCGTGGAACTGTCCCAATTCAGATATGCCTTTTTTCCATGCAATGTCAATCAAGCAAATACAGTTGTCTAGCAGCCCAGTGGAAGAATCAATATCTCTAGCTCTATTTTTATACCATGCAGCAAGTTCTTCTGATGATGGCCAATTATACCCCGAACACATTCTAACAATTGGCTCAGTGTGAATCTGAGACTCATTCTTGCCATTCTCCGGCAATTTATTAATAAATCTAACCATCTTCTCACATTCAACCCAGTCTTCTTCTCTCACTGCCATACTAGTTGGAGGAGATTTTCCTGGAAGAAGATGTGCATACGTTTCAACAGGAACAGTTTCAGGAATAGCGGCCAAAATATGCAGCATGAAGGATGCAAGTGAATAAGGATGCCGCTTAAAGAGCAGGTTTAAAGCCCCTATCCTCCCGCTCTCGGCAAGTGCGATAGCAGCCTGATTGATAGGAATGCTCCGAAATTTTCTATAATCCTGCACCGAATATCTGTGGAGATAATGTCATTAACCCTTTCTAAAAGTAACTAGATAGTTAGATTAGAAGTAGATTAAAAGGAACCAGAAGTTCTGAAATGCAGAACCCAATGCAAATATTGGGGATATCAGATAAAAACTGCCTGCGTAGGTATCTAAGGGTGGCAAAAGAAGATTGTAACTTTTTCAAGTAGCAAGCAAACCCGCAAAATTACTTAGCTCTAGAATTGCTGTCAAATGCTAAGCAAATTCTAAACGACACTCATTCTGCATTGGATGACTATAGAACCAAGACCTAATTAGTACTATATGGCATACCAATTTACCTATCTGCAGAAAGGAAAAGAAGATGCAAGTGTAAATATATATACCTGCCCATGCTTATCCCCAAATATGTGTCAAGCCTTTCACAAAATTGTAATAGTCGAAGCCTCGCCAAGCGAAATTCCCAAAGTGGTTGGGATTCTTGATCTTCAGATTTAGCGAATACATAGTGATTAGTTAGATTAACTCCATGCGCAAGTAAGGCCTTCATGGAATCTTCTGTTGGCGCAATTCTATCTAAGCATTCGGAAAGCACAAAAGCTTTATCTTTTATCTTTGATAGAATCATGCTAACATCACTTACCCCTTTTTCTGAGTTCAACCATCTTGACTTGAATACTTCATCTCTGTCCAACCCGTGGCTATCAGCAAAATCTAACGCCTCTTGATAGTGGCCTTTCTCAACTAAAATTTTATACATTTGAGAAACTGTTTTCTCAGTAAATGATATTAGCCTCCATAACATACTATGCTCACTAGTATGATGCAATTCACTTGGGTCCTTGTCAACTTTGGCCAAAGCTGATTTTGCTTCCTGCGTTGAACTTTCTAAAAGAAAAATGTGTCCTTCAAATCTCCTAACTCTTTCCACGACAGGCATAGAATAATTGGTAGCATCCTCTTGAACTATAACACACCTACTGATGTCAAATATACTAATGTTACCGCTCCTTTTCAAAATTGTAAGGGCGTGATCAGACCACCAAGTAAAATCTACTACATTTCTTAAACTTTCTTTCCAACTTTGTCGCGATTTATCTGGCTTCAGTGTATCAGACCTGTCTTCAGAAGTACAATATGAAAGTGTCAATCTTGCTTTATCTAACTGGAAAAGATGCATGCACCCATTGCTATCAAGACTTGCAACATGTGACCCCTGAGGTGAGATTAAAATCTTTGGATATGCCAACTGATCATCTTTGGTCTCAGAATACACGCCTTCAAACTGTGTGGTGGACAACAGTTCCAGACCTAAGTTCTGACACTTACGCCAAAGCGAAATACACGAGGAACCTGAAGGGTAAGTAATTAAAAGCATTAATAATCCTAGAATCATAAACCTACACCTCTGTCCATAGGAAATATTTTAACAACCACATTTTTCATTAAACGACCACAAACTTTGATAAAGTATAAGTAGCATTCTTATATAAAGTACGTTGCTGTGGCTTGCTAAATGGATTGACTTCGAGTGACTGAGTAGCTTTCAAGTCTCTTTACACGAGTCTTAACAATAAATAATACTAATTTAAAACTTCCATAACTAAAATAAGTTGTATAAAACCTACCAGAACTCCCTGTCGATGATATGCCTGCAGTACTGCTAACAGTGAGAAGGAAAGAAAGGTCTGGATGGTAATCAAAGCAAAAAACATGGTTGGGGAATTGCTTTCTCAAAGCTGGGACACTATTTGAAGCATGTTTGGAAACGGCAGAAGCACTTGGCTCCCTACTGATCTCGACATGATGAATAAGTCCATCTGATGTAAGTACACTGAACGAACACCTGCAAGCAAAGTGTCATTGGGACAGATCAGCGGTAGGCCTTCAGCAAACAAGTATATTGTAATGCACAAGGGGGCATTAGGATCCCAGTACTCTTTAAATCTTAATCATAAGGAAAAAAAAGGACAGAAGGAAACGTACAAGCATGATGGTTGCAAATCACAGTCGTCCTCCATCAATCCTAATACTGATGCAGAAACCTTCAAGTTTCTTTTTGTGACTTGACTTATTTCTTCACCATTAGTTCTGATGAAAAAGAGGGTCTCGCTATCATCCACAAGACCAAGAACATCATGTTTTTCGGACCACACTCCGGAAGTAAATGATCCTGATACATTTGCTGATGCAGAGAATAGAAGTCAAAAAATACCATAGCATGGGGATGGAATAGACCATGAGTGAAGTAAACAGAGAGAAAGAAAGAAAAAGTATTGCGAGGATAGGATATTCTCGAAAGTGAAAGCAAGGGAAGATATGCCAGAATTTCTTACATGTAAAATTGCCACATGGTTTCCTGTAATCATCGTCCTTTCGCAAGATTATAACATGGTTTCCGGAAGTGACAGCCACAAGTTCTCCATTAGGTGAAATAAACAATGACACCGGTTTATTAGTTCTTCTCGGACTCCAGTATTCACTCCACTTTTCCTTGAGTTGATTAACACCTTAATACCAGAAGATAATAGAGACGAAGAAGCCTATATCAACTAATGGGGTATAAAGCTAATTCAACGAAAAGAGATGTACACAAACATGATTCCTACAAGCTTATAAAAGCAGAGAACATGATAAAGCTCCCAGCTTTATTTCACCAGCAGATGGAACAACTAATGAATTAACCTCCTGAAACTGACCTCTAATGGAGACAAGAGAACGAAGCCCTCCTTTCGAATCAGTTCCATATGCCTAAACTTCGACAGCAGATCAAAGCCCAATGTAAGATATATATATATATAGATAAACTCTAAAACACAGCAATTAATCAAACTCTATAAGAATGATGAATGGGGTACCTGAGGAAGAGGAGGGTATCTAGGAACATAAGGCAATGAAGCATGATGACGTATCTCGTACAAAACTTTGGTTCCAGGTGTTTCCATGATCAATCGCGTCTAAGGAGACTGAGAGATCGATCCTCACACCACCTTCTAGGAGTCAAACTATAAGATTATATATGCACTGAACTGAATCGATCAAATCTGAAACTGTAATCTGAGTCGGAGAACTCAATTTTAGGGGAGGATCTAGAGAGGAGGTGCCCATACTGATATTTAAAATGAAATACGTTTTTGGATTTAGTGTTTTTGTTTGTTAGGTCAAGTGGTGCTTTGAGTCCTAATAGAAGCCAGAGATGCCAAGTTCGATCCTTCGTGAAGACTTTTTCCATGTTTTTATATTTTTTGGTTGTATAATTTGTATTGCACATTTTTTATGCTTTATTTTAATTATTTATATACCAATATTCTTTACTATTTTCTTAACAATTAGTCTTCATTCGTTAATACCGATCTTATTTACATCATGATATATTGATATATTAAATAAAAATTATATTTAACGATTTATTAATATTTTGATTCCTTTATATATTTTAAAACTATAAAAATCAACGAAATGGTAATTTTTGTAAGATTTATAAATAATGAAAATTATATTATAATTAGAAAATAGAAAAATGTCATTAAATTCATGAACTCAGTCATTTACCCCATTTAAATCATGAACTTCCACGAAGTCCATTAAACCATACATACACATTGACTTGCAGATTAAAACATAAAACAGAGTTGACCAAACCAAAAACAATATACATATTTCATAAAGAGAATAAAAATGCAAACCATTCATAAAGCATGTTGTTAATAGACTAACACATATTAGTGACATGTTGTTTCTAGCTCGGTCAACTATGTTTCATGTTTTAATCTGCAAATCAATGTGTATTATGGTTTGAATGGCATACGTGAAAATTCATGGTTTAATTGGCGTAAATGACAAAGTTCATGAATTTAACGACAATTTTCCAAATTATAAATTGATAATCTAATATTGTTCATCATAAAACAAACTAAAACATTTAGAAACGGTTCATTCATTCTGGAACACGTGTGCATAAGACACAAGTTATAAACACATCTTGTTTTGCTCAGATCACGAGAGAGTGAATTACTCACTCAACTTGCATACTTCCATGAACTTCTGGACTGCGTTATGATACTGAGTTCCCTGAAACCATAAAACAAACATTAAGCATCTCGATACTAACACTATTAGAGACAGAACTGATCGGAGCTCTAAGGAAATGATTTCTGCTCTCTAAGACTATTCTGAATCTTGTGGATATGATTTCTGCTCTCTAAGACATGAACACATGAAGATGTTCTAACGAAATCAAGATTCACAGTATTTAAACAAACAATTTTCAAATAAATAGATGGACCAGATGATATGATTAACTCACGGTATATTCATTCAGGAACTAGAATGTACAAACGGTAATAGATGGGGGTAGGTGACTAAGCGACTTACCTCCCAGTATAGCTGATGGCAGTTCATGCATTGCCAAAATTCTATGTTTTTATTAAATAAGCAGTTGGGTATTCTTTGGAAACCCTTTGCTGCTTCAATAGCTTCTTCAATGCTTAGAGGTTTCTGAATAAATTTCCCATTGCATTTCGTACATCTTGACATCAGCTGATCTCCGGTGATCTTTAGCTGGAACGTCTCTATCACCTGTGCAGCTTATTGTTTCAGTAACCCTGTAGGAATCCATAATCATTCTACTGAATGTAAATAAAGTGAGTAGATGAGGTTATTTTGAAATGTTCCACCCAGAAAGTTTAGTTAAACATAAAATCATTCTTCAAGAGATCCAGTTTAGGTGTCCCATTTGATTAAATAAATCCAGTATAATAGATCTTTCATAATAGCTAGCTTATACGTTGAGAATTAATTTTGTTTGTACCTCAAGTAGCTGCTCATTTTTAAGAAGACTCTTTACTCGATATATTTGATGCTTTGCCATATCTTGGTGTCTCAGCAATTTTGTATCTCTTGTCAATAGAACTCTGTTCTCTTTCAATGCTTGATCAAGCAATTCCCTGGCATTTGTGTCAATAGATCAAAAGCTAAATAAGGGAAACCTAAATAGATATCGTGATCAACCCCATGTCCTGAAAATATTAAAATATTAGCTTTGGGAAAAAAATACCTTGAATCCGGCTTCTTCAAGTGTGGAATTGCAGCATCAATCCCCACACAACGTAGATGTTTCGCCAGACCTTCAACCTAGAGGGTTATTTAATAAGCAACTGATGTGATATCACATGGAGTCTAGTGAAAAAATGGTTGCATTCACGAAACGAAGATACTACCTAGGTGAAGTCATATATTGATTTTTCAAGTACATAAAATCTAACTTCAGTAACGCAAGAAACAAAAGATAGACCAAAACTGATTCAATTACCATCACATCCAAAAGAAATTTAGGGCAGCCATCACCGCCTAAAGATGGGTCCCATGGCGGTGGGCCTTGCCATTCCGCAGAACAGACCAACTGCTTATTTGTGTTCACAGTGCTTGAGGGAACACGTCTTCTTGTTTTCTTCTTGAGTTTCTTCGGTAGAAGATCAGACTCCTTCAATAGGATTCTTTCTCCATACTTCCTGACAATCTTTAACAGACTCTCGTCCATCGGCATCGTGTTTAGAGTTGTTTTTCTAGAAACCACTCCATTGGCAATGTTTTGACCATTTTCTGACATTGATCTGATTACATCTGCAGCCTTGCAAAGTTTGAGCGTGACAAACTTACTGGTATAATCCGATCCAGTAAGAATTTCTTTTAAGCCAACATTAATCTCTCCAGGATCTAGCGATGTGATTCCTTCAACAAGATGTGCCTTGAATACATCGAATAGTTGGAGCAAGCAGTGAGCATCTGTGGCAGCATATAGCTTCTGTTCTTCTGTAAGAGGACGATGTGACCAATCACTACATTGAAGTTCCTAAAGCATAAAACCCTGTTAAAAAAGCTAACAGAATGACTTGGTATAAAAAAAAAAACAGGTATGTTTCTTTACCTACCACTAACCTTAGAAAAGCTAACTAAATGTCAAAAGAACCGAGGACATTACTTATCTTAAGTAATATTTGATGTAAAATGATATAACTAAAGAGACAGGGATTCCCCAGGGTGTTTAGATCTCCTTGAACAATCATAGCATAAGGTAAAAATACTAATCCATCCATCTAGTTTACATTACTTACTCAGCCATACGAAGACAGCTTATAGTGCATATCTCCCGGAAAGCTCAATTTCACCAAAAGACAAGTTCTTTCGGGAAAGATTGACAAACCTTTGAGAGAGATATGTCCAGCATTTCCTTGCATATAGCTGCCAAGCTCTTAATATCCTTTGGTGCCTTTCTCCCAAACCGCTTATGCTGCTGATGATTGTATATGCTTGTGATATCCAAGTATTGTTTCACCTATTCACATCAACAATCACATACAATGGCTTTAGAGAAGCAAGACCTAAAATGGCAAATAAAAACACAATTCAACAACCCAATTTCAAATGAAACCCTAAAAGGCAACAATCAAATACTCTACTCCGTAAGTGTTTAATCTTACTTACCTATCTATAAACACCACATATGATCCAAACACAAGAAAACTGAAAACTTTGATGAAGTAACAGAGCTAAAGGTAAGATTTTGGATTGAAATTCGATTTCACCTATCTTCAGTGCAATCCAAACTACCAAGAACAGTTTCAAAAAACATTAACTAAAACTGAGATGAAAAGTTCAAAACTTTTCACAAGCAATTACCTCTTGGAATCCACCTTCACATCCATGTTGAGTAAATGTCGAAGACAAGTAAACCAAATCCTGTTTAAACCGAAACCCTAATTTCAAAACATCCGGCGACACAAACATATCATTCAACAGCTCCCACACCGAAGGAAGATGAATCGAAGTCAAATCAATGAGGAAAACATCGGAGACATCATCCTCCGTGGCTTGACCGTGTCGGCATGCGACTTGGAGAAGAGTTACGGTCGGAAACGAAGACGAACTGGAACGTTGTGGCTTCCATTCGGCGTCTAAGGCGATGATCGTAGAACGAGTGAAAGACCATTTCAGACGAGTGAACTCGGGCGAGTCGGTGGACGAAACTAGATAGATCTTTAGATTGCTTTCCATCGTACAGAGCGAAAAATTAAAATTAACTTAAAATTACATTCAAGTAGAGAGACTCTTTGTCGGTTTTGGTTAATTATTTAAGGGTATGTGAAAACCCGAATCAAAAATGACTAAACCGAACCAAAATCTAGCAATCAAAATTAAAACCGGTTTATAAATTTTTTCTATAGCATCTAAACCAAACTCAAACTAATATGAATATTACAGAATGAAGTTTAGTAAACTAAAAAAATATTTTGTTATTTAAATTTTTTAATAAAAAAACATATGCAACACGGAATATTAATCATTTTTATTAAAGGTTTAATATTAATCAAAATAATATTTATCATTTTTATTAAAGGTTTAAGCACTACCCTAATTATGATTTTTTATTAAATATATAAAATGATTATTGGTTCGATTAGTGACACATTCTAATGACTAAAATCAATCGGTAGGAAATATCTGAACCGAACCGATAAGAATGTCTCATCTAACCCAATTCATTAAAACCAGTTAGGGAACCAAAATAAACCGGACAATAAATTGATAAACCGGAACAGCGGCGCCAGATCAAAAATTCCCCCGCGAAAAGCCGGTGAAATCAGAGCGCGAACTCTTCTACTCAGCTCTCTCAAATCTCACATTTATAATCTCTCCCTCTCACTCTCTCTCTCTCTCTCTCTCTCTCTCTCTCTGGGAAATCGAAAAAGCGTAACAATGGTGGCTGTACGAAGAAGAAGAACCCAGGCGTCAAACCCAAGATCCGAACCGCCGCAACAAATGGCGGATGATTCCGATTCCGATTCCGATTGGGATACAGTCTGCGAAGAATGCAGCTCCGGGAAACAACCCGCGAAGCTGCTTCTTTGCGACAAATGCGATAAAGGGTTTCATCTATTTTGTCTCAGACCAATCCTCGTTTCAGTTCCCAAAGGCTCCTGGTTCTGCCCTTCTTGTTCTAAACACCAGATCCCCAAATGTAAGCTTTTTTTCTCAAAAACCCACGTTTATGTAATCTCAAAGTTTCCTCCTTTTGATTCGGCTATGTCACTGTTGAGCTGTAGATTTTAGTATTCTGGGTTTCTTGATCTCTGTCGTTGTTTTGATACTGCGAATTTGGATCAGATGTGAATATTTCTAATCACTTGGAACTGTTTTAGGTTATGTGAATCTTATTTGATTCATTGGGTAATATATCTGAAGTCTATGAATTTTTAATTTATAAGAAGGACACTAACGAAAAGTTTGTAATTTTGCAGCTTTCCCGCTTGTTCAGACTAAAATTATAGATTTTTTCCGGATTAAGCGATCTCCAGATTCATCTCAAATCTCAGCTTCTTCAGGTATGTAATTTTTCTTTCAGATTAGATAACAAAATCCCTAGAAATGTATGTGTTGTGTTTGGAAATGTTTATCTGAAGAGTGAAATGTTTTGCAGATAGTATTGGAAAGAAACGGAAAAAGACAAGCTTGGTGATGTCAAAGAAGAAGAGGAGGCTTCTTCCTTACAATCCTACCAATGATCCTCAAAGGAGACTCGAGCAAATGGCGTCTCTTGCTACTGCGTTGAGAGCCTCAAACACCAAATTCAGCAATGCGCTTACTTATGTATCTGGCAAGGCTCCAAGATCTGCAAACCAAGCTGCTTTTGAGAAAGGAGGCATGCAGGTATATATATTCTAAGTCGATATGTAATTGCTTTTGTAACTTCAGTCACATCCATTGATAGGTTTGGTGATTCTTGGTCTTCTTGAAAGTATTCATTTGGGTTTAGTATCAACTTAGAAGTTAAGTTTGTATTCAATTCCATACAGGTTCTATCTAAAGATGGTGTAGAGACCTTAGCTTTGTGCAAGAATATGATGGACCGTGGTGAATGCCCGCCTCTGATGGTCGTCTTCGATCCTTATGAAGGGTACTTAACCTTCTTATAGCTTCTTTTATATATATTTTTAAATCTAAGAGAAAGTATGAGTAGTGTATGACTGTAGAAGAAATGCATTTATTGATCTACAGTTATATTGAGTTCTGATTATTAAAACCTGAACAGGTTCACGGTAGAAGCAGACAGGCTCATAAAAGACTGGACCATAATCACAGAGTATGTTGGAGATGTTGATTTTCTAAGCAATAGAGAAGATGACTACGATGGAGACAGCATGATGACTCTACTTCATGCCTCTGATCCTTCTCAATGCCTTGTTATTTGCCCTGACAAACGTAGTAACATTGCACGGTTCATCAGCGGCATCAACAATCACTCACCGTGAGTTTCTCTTCTCTTCTATTTGCATCAACAAAACAATTGAACTCGAAACACTCTAGTGTTGCATGCTTGTACTCATTTGTGTTCGTTGACATTCTGGGAAAATTGCAGAGAAGGGAGGAAAAAGCAGAACCTGAAGTGTGTGAGGTTCAACATCAACGGAGAAGCTAGAGTTCTACTTGTAGCTAACAGAGACATATCGAAAGGAGAGAGATTGTATTATGATTACAACGGATATGAACATGAGTATCCAACTGAACATTTTGTATAACCATCCCTGTGAAATACACAAGAAAAAGTCATTGAACCTGTTCAACAAGATCAGTTTATAAACAACACAAAACAATGTGTCTATATAAAGTTTTTGTCTTTCCCATGGGCTATGAAGCAAGCCTTACTTCAAATTGGACCATACTTTGAAGCCTTGTTTTTGTCATAATTTGTGTCCCATTTGTAAACAAAATTTGGTAATAGGAAAGTGATGGAAAATAAAAATTGTTGGTAAGGAAAGAAAGAGAGAGCTATAGCTAGTAGAAGCTAGTAGCTAGGAACAATAGAATGGTCCAAAAGAGCTATAAGACTAGAAGTAGTCTGACAGTACTCTTTGAAAGTTAGCATCAAAACTCTCTTTCTGATTTCTTCAGATCATTTTGGACCCTACACTTACATATATTTTCTCATTTTTTCTTTTACATTTCTACAACAAAAAAAAAAAAAATTATTTCACATTTTTGTAAAGAACATGTTTTGGTAAAACTATAACAAGAATAGCTTTCAAAGAGCATTAGTAAAAAAAAAAAAAAAAATTATGATTGGTAACAATCAGTCAATTCTTATCGCTATTCACGGTAAATTATTACTAATTATATATTATACATATAATAGATTAACCGTACCAAGAACAAGAATTACTTTTTTGTCAACAATTATATTAGCTCGACTCAAAGGAGCCAATGCTGCGGAACAAGAAGTCAAGAACTATATATCAATTGGACATAGCAAGCACAAACATATAGATCACAAAATAAGCAAACAGCTAGTGCAAGAACAATGCCAATAACAATGGGAACAATGCCAATAACAATGGGTTAGGATAAGTACACATAGTCATATATATATAAGCTAGTGTGTTCAAGTAGGCACCAACTAATATATATAGTCAAAAAAAACAAACACCATATCTATCCATCTACCAAACTTTTTTTTGATAGATCATTATCAAAGATTTTGTCTACATCGAACAACCAATTTGTACATATATACTCTACTTTATATTTAGTCCAAAAACAAAATATACTCTAAATTATATATCACACCATTTCGAATCCAACTTATTACAAGATTGATGCTGTTCATGTTTTTATTTGTTTTGGTGAGATCTGATTCTGATATCACTTTCTAAATTCTAATGGTAGTAATATATTAATGACGACGTACGTCCTTTGATTAGGCCTTAATTAAATTAATAGGTGCTACTTTTAATTGTACGTTAAAATATAGGGTAGGTTTTTAATGGTTTAAAGAGTTTGGTGCCTTTATTAGTAACAACAAAAGAGAAACATATATTTGCATGCTTGGTCCCTGAGATAGAAATTATTATTATTGTTATATGCAAAAGCTTCTTTTGACTCCCACTATTTTTGGTCTCCTTAATAGTTGCCACTCGTAATTTATGTAATGTTAGTTGAAGTTTTAATTTACCAATACTGTATAGAGATTATTTTTTTAATGTACTAAAAATATTTCTTCTTTTAACCTTTGAAAAAAAAAATTATAATCACATTTGTTAAACATATTTTTTATACTCATTTTATCCTAAACCACTAACAAACATATCTCATTTTATTCCAATATATCTAGAATTTTCAAATTTAGACTTTTAAAATCATATTATTATTACCATATATAATATTTTAAAATTTCTATATATATCTAATGCTTTTTAATGCACTCTAAAATTTAATATAAAAGAAAATATTCTATATATTAAAATAGAGTCAACTAGCTATATTATTAATAACACTATATAGAATACTAAATAGGATGCATGCATGATGCATGAGATTCATAAACTATTTATAAATTATGGTGTTAAAAAAACTATTTATAAATTGCATAAAATTTCATGCACGGGTTCTTACTTCTTACGTAGACTACAAATTTGGAGGCCATCACAAATTTTACAAATCCAATAATGTTATATAAAATCATCATAATACGTTTTGTTATCATACATATTTTTCTTAGTTTTATGGAGGCCACAGAAAAGAGAAAGAAAAAGTTTAAAAAATATAATGCTTATGATCAATCAAAAAAGTAAATTAATAATAATACGTAAAAGGCTTTTGTTGCCTAATGCCTAATTTTATTGGATAATCGTCCTCACGTGATTGACGCCACTCTTTCTCTAATCGTAGCATTGTCATTAGTAAATAAATTAAACACTACTACCATCATTTTGGTTTCTTTATAATGGTTCATTATGAATTCTTTTTTTTTTCTGAAACTATTTTGTTGAATTACAAGGAAAAAAACAAATAAAGTTAATACTGATAATCAAGAAAAAAAAGTTGAACATTTCGTTCTTTAAATCGAAAAGAAAAAAAACACAATTGTATAGCAAAAGAAGCGAAGACAAAATTGGCGACATTTTTGGTTTCAAGAATCGTAAAGTAAAAGAAAGTAAATAGAATAATTTGTCGTTAAGACTTAGGTTTATCAGACTAAACAACCAACTGTTACCGACATAATTATTATCTCTTGTTCCCTTAACAAAAAGCCAAATATCATTATCACATTTGAAAACTATATCTATCCGTGCAAATTTTTGATTATTACTGAATAATTAATGTCGGGCTGTCTTTTAATTAGGGTTATAATAGCTTATCACTGTCTCCCCTTTTTTGTCCCTACGTTAGGGTTTTTCTAATTGGCATCATAATCATTTTTTTCATCTTTAGAAAAGTTAAAGCTTTGCTGCTACATACGACACCACTTTTTTAATTTGGACGACTAAACCATCCAAAAAGAAAAATGTATTGGACAAAACCTTAGGCTTACAAGTCGATAAACTTAGCAAAAATGAGTAAATAATTTGACTAAAGACCAATTATTTTAATTGAATAATCCACATGAATTTTTTCTCTAATAATAGACATTCACATTTTTATGGTGACCCAAAAAAAAAAAAAAAAAAAAAAAAGCATTCACATTTTTATATATGCTTTATGTTTTACTAATCTTCTTTTTTTGGGTTACTATATAAAAATGACATACGATATTTTTGCCTAAAAGATTTTTCAAACTTTACCATTCTAATTATATATGATGCTTAGAATTTAGACTTTGTTGATTATATAATTTTCCTAGAATTTAAATTGCTATTTTATTTCTTAATAAATAATTCTTTTTAATTAAACGAATTAGTCGTTAAAAATGGCCAACATTAAAAACAATAACCACAATCCTTTTAAAACCAAAATAGCAAAGAAAATGAGGTTTGCGGAAATATCTAAATTATAAGTTCTCAAGTTTATGCCATAAATATGAAAATGAAATGATGAATTATCATCAATATATGCTTTTGTTAATTATAGTGAATCATGTTAAATTGGTTCCCATAATTCTCAATAATTTATCCTTTTTACTGTATATAAAAATGTCATTTTGCTTTTAACTCACTCACTCCCCTTTTGATTAATTCTTTGTTGTTTGTAATTTGTCGTTGATTAAGGTTAAAATGATGACAATTATGTTGGCACGGGTGGGAGAGTGTTTGTTTGGTCCCCATTTCGTTACCGACGTTTTACTATTTCTCTACTCTAATCTTTTAAACCGTTTGATCAAAGAGACTTGTATGAGTCTGATCTTTCGAAATTGAATCTCCAACGTTGGTTTCGTAATCATGTTTTCAAAAAGCATTATAATTGTGTTTGGAATTGTAGACAATTACATAGTTTAGTGGATTCCTGCCAAATTGATAGGAGGAAGCTTAATTACTTTAAGAATATATTTTGATACAATTGACAGTGGTTTTGACTTTTTAAGACTAGAAACAAAAATTTGAGTTAGCCAGATAGTTTTCATAGTGAACCACTTTTTTCATAAAGTGTCGGAACATTACTATGATCCTATGTAAAGCTAAGTTTAATGTCTTTTTATTTTTCCTTTAAAAGCATAACATAAATTAAACAGCTGACGACTTTTATGTAATTTTTAAAAATAATTATACATATATAAAAGTATGGAAAATGAAGTAAATTTACCAACTATTAATTGACTATCCACACTCTCATTTGTTGGCTTCGATGTTAACCATACCGCATTACAAAATCGCATCGCAACAGTACTGTAACAGTGTCAAAATACATGTATATATATATATATATATATATATATATATATGCATTTTTGTTATTATTTGTACCATACCACACTTTTCTCACGATAAAAACGCAATTACCATTCGAAATTGTTATCTATAAGAGAGTCTACAACTATTAATAATGATTTTATCTATTTTGTTATCATTGTTACCCAAACAAAATATTTATAAAATAAGATAAAAAAAATCCAAAGTAAGAGTTGTGTCGGGCACGAATATATGGAGACAAGAACTGATTTTACTAATTTAGTAAAAATTGACAAAACTAGTGAGCTCATCAACTTGGCATCAATTATAATAATAATGGGTTTTGTTTGGCTTCAAATGCTCATATTTGTCTCTTACCTAATCTGTGAAAATAGTCACACACACACGTAAATACTTGTGTGTATATATAAATAATCAGTTTTAAGTAGTGATTTTCAAAGACTTTAGAACTAGTGATTAATTATATAGTAAGAAAAATTTGATTGTGCTTTAAGTTTATATTTCTTCTTCTTTATAAAAAGACGAATCCAAGGCTGCTCCAATATGCATGCATGTTGTCGTAGGATTAACATACAATCTATAATTAAGCTTGGGTACATTATGTTTTTGTAGGAAACAAATTGAATCCCAATCAAACGACATTTTTATAGAATTTGATATTGCGATTCAAAACCATGTTTTTTAATTTGTGAGAAACATATCAAAATGACAATTTATTTTTGTTAAACATCAATTTCATATTTTTTTGTCAAATTTATGAAAAATTTACTAAAATCCAGAAGTTCGTAATTAACTATACTCCGTAATACAGAAAATGAAAATTAGCTATTAAGTTTTACTTTAGGTAGACAAGAAAAGAAACAAAGAAAACTTAAATTATAGATTTATGAGATCATAATAATGTTTCGATACTTTAAGAAAAGTTGTTCCCTATAAAAATTCTATTGCTAACTCAAATTTTTGTTTCTAGTCTTTACATTATTATATACTAGTAAAATAGAAGA